GAGAACATTTATTGAATGAATAAATGGAAGAGTGACATCAATGCCTTGCTCGATCTTTTCTCTCCCTGAATTTTCCCTGGAGATTCTGGCACGATCGGAACAAATATAGGTTCCTGGTTGGAGCAGAGCAGTTCCCGCCAAGTCCTCCAGACTCTGCTCTACCACAGCCTCTCCCTAAGACCCCGAGCTGCCCTGGCTCCTGTTCCGGCTCAGCCCTGGTCTCTCGTCCTCCCGACCTGCCGATAAATCCCTTTTCTGTCTACACAGGGCAGAGCCGGCTTCCGTCACTTGTAGCTTGAGCCTTAGCTGATAGAAACCACTCGTGAGGGTGGCTGGAGGTGGGCCGTTTCCAACTTCTCAGCTTCAGCATGAACCTGTTGGGACAAGCCACCTGGCTCGTTCGAAAGGGGCTGCTGTGACAGGAACCCAAGACGGAAGACCAGGGAACTCGGGCCACTGCTGTGGAAGCACTGGCAAGTTCACTGTCATTATTAAGATGGTTCGGGGGCCGAGAGCAAGGCCTTTGTAGAGAAGACGCCACAGCCCCAAATGGATCATGGTCCCAGATGCACGAAGGGGCCATTCTGGGCATTGACCTTGCCCCCCTGGGTGGCTCAACTGGGGAGGAGAGGGGCTCAGCTTGAAGGGATTGGAGCGATGAGCTAAGGAAGCGGTGGGGGTCCCAAAAGCCCTGCAGCCACCCGCCACTGGGGGAGCTTTGAGGGGGGAGGTGGAGGCAGGGAATGGCAGAGCAGGTCACCCTTGCCCAGGCACGCTCCCAGCCCAGCTCTGCCTCTTACCTCTGCAGCCAGGACGGTGCAGCTCTGCAGACGGCAACCTCTCCCAGGTTGGCCAGGATTCGGGAGACGACAGCTCTGGGGTCCTCAGCAAGTCCTTAAAAACCCTGCAGGGCATTAACCTCACAGTGGGTGCGATTCTGTGTCCAGTTGTCCCCTCAGGGTAGACGGGGGCAAGGATGAGCACCAGGTGCAGGAGGCTCTGAATAAGGGACAGAACAGCCCCTGTGGCTTTGCTCAAGCTTGACTCCACTGTCTAGAAGGCTCTCCCACCCACTTCTGCCTGCTCAAACCTTGGTAAGGACTTTGGAGTGTGGCAAACGAGGGTTCGAATCTTGGCTCTGCCACTTACCGACTCTAGGGCCTTGGACAAGGGGGCTGCCATCTCCAAACCTGTTTTCCCAGCTGTGAAGCAGGCATCCTAACAGTGTGGCACGCGAGTGAATGATCACAGTACGTGCTCAGACGTCTCTTCCTTGGATTAGTCAGGCCTCTCCCCCAACCGGACAGTTGAGGTCTGCAGGGCAGAGTGGTGCCCCCAGCATCCAGCGCAGCCAGTGTGTCTATTTTGGGTGAACAGAGGCAAGCCTGAACTCTGGCAGTCTAACTGGGCCACCTCTTGGCTGGCCCCCCTGCCAGCTGCTGGGTCCGTCTGGCATCACTGTGATGGTGACAACACTATCCGGGTGGCAGATCCCCACTTGCCCCACACAGAGTGATGCTCCCTTCCCCGGGCAGAGACCCTGGGTGGGACACAAGCAGGCTGGTGAGTCAGCGGGGCCAGGCCCTGTGGGGAGAGGGTCGTGAAGCCTCGTGTCTGGTACAGGTGCCCAGAACAGGCAATATATTAAGAGGACAAAGAATAACTCATCATGTGCCACCCCCACCTGCCCCCGTCTGTCTTTGCCCTCAACTTCAGGCTCCCCTGCCTTCCCTGGGGGAGCCCTCTCCTCGAGCCCTCTGTTTGCATCCAGTGACTCCTAGCCCTCCCCAGCTCCCCCACCCACGAGATATCCAGTACAGACTGTTCCCCGTGGCAGCAAAGCTGGGAGAGGTCGAAGGGGGCCCTTTGTAATCACAGGGACCCAGGGCCGAACCCTACCTCTGGGAATTTCTAGCTGTGTGGTCTTGTGCAAGCGAATGCATCTCTTTGAACCTCAACCTCACCTGCAGAATGGGCCAGTTACGCTCCCAGGGCCCAGGGCCCCTGTGGAGTAAGTTCAAGAGCTAGTGTGGAAGGTTGAGTGCCGTGCTTTGCTTGGGGTGAGGGTCTGGGGGACGGCAGCTCCTGCCCTGGGTGAGATGTGATCTGTGGTTTTACTGATGAGAAAAGAAGGTTCAGGAAGTTGGAAACTTGCCCAGAATCACTCAGCTGAGCTGCACCAGTTTTTCATGCTGAGTTCATGGTCTTCTTGCTCCACCCGTCTGCACGCTGGGCCCTGGAGGATGATGCACTCCCACCTTTGCTCCTGAGTGGGGTCCATGGTATAGCGCCAGGCTGTCAGGAAGGAGGGTCCCTGGGCCCCCCAGAGCTGCTGAATCGGGCGGGATCTCCCTGGTGACTCGTGGGCACATTGATGTCTGGGAAGCTTGGATTTTGATTTATGCTTTCAAATTGCTCTGCAGGCTTCTCCGGGGCCAGAGAGGCAGGTCAGGTCTGTGGGGTCTCTCCTGTGGCCACTGAGTGGTCCCGCTGTCTGGCTCTCCTGGTGGAGGGTCTGTAAAATGGCAGAGAGCCCAGTCTACCCAAGTCTCTGAGTCTCCCCATGACTCAGAGACCACCCCGCTGCTGAGGGCTGGGAAAGCCACGAACAGAACGCAGCTGCTGGTCCCGGATGGTGGAAGGCTCAGGACACGGCGACGACTCCAGCAAAGGAGCCAAAAACCGGAGGCTGAGGGCGAAGCCCAGCAGAAGCCCCTGCAGAAGCCCCTGGCACATCCTGCTAACACCTAGGGAAGCCTCCTCGCAAGGAGTCTGAAAGGGAGAACTCCGGAGAGGACGTCAGTTAGGTCTCTGGAGTAAAATACAGAGGACAGCTACACCTGCCATGAATCTCTGTATCACTGTCCATAGAGGGCCTGGCACAGGCTGGGGCCTTTTGGGCCACACACTACGTGCTGGCTGTGGCTAGGCCTATTCTGTGGAAGAGGGAAGTGCGGCTCAGAGACGCCAAGGGTCTTGTTCCTGGCATCAGGGTGAGTGAATGGCAGAGCCAGGATGCGAGCCCCATCCCAGAGGCCCCAAACCCCTTACTCTGTCCAGTGCACTCACTCAGTTCGGACTCCAGAGTCCGTCACGACCCAAGCACGGGCTTGCAACAAAGGCTAGCCCTCATGATGATGATGAGGCACAGGCGACTTCTTTCGGACTCCAAAAGTTGAAGACACCCTTGGGTCCTGGCTGGGCCCCCATGGGGGTGACTTCCCACCATCCTGCAGAAGTTCCAGAGGGAGATCGCAGACCACACTTCTCTGTATGATTTCCCACCGCCCTGCAGTGTCAGTCGGTGGCAGGCCCTGGAGGTTGGGCCAGGGCCTAATCGGCAGGTCACAGGCAGCCCCATTTCCTTCTAGTGCAAAGTGAGCAAATGTAGGAAGGGGACTGAAGTCTGTGGATTCGGTGCCAGGAGCTGAGTGGGCGGCGCAGCACGCATTGCTTCCTTTAATCCCTGTGGCCGCTGGAGGGGACATGGAGACTCTCGAGAGGCATGTGCAGAGGCTGGCCTGGGACGGAGCAGGAAGTGAGGGGTGCATGCATCCCTGTGGTCCCGAGCCCACGTTCCACTTCTCGGAACGGTGTGTCACACGAACCACTTTCCACAGTTTGCCAGCTGCTCTTAGCAACCTATGAGCTTTCCAGAAAGTAAGTCGAGGCCTAAGGGAGCCCTGGGTCTACGTGTTAACCAGCCTTAGAGATAACCTGTCTGTCCATGATCCTGTCACCTTTAGTAGTTTGACATCTGCTAAGTCAACAGGACAGAGAGGCTCATGGCTTTGCTGAGGTCAGAAACACTGCCCAGACCAGTCTTCCTCAAACTGTGTTCCATCTAAATACCCTTAGGCACTCACAAGTTCTGGCGGCGTTATTACGATGGTCTTCATTTAAGGGCACCTGGGTGGCTCAGTCGGTTGAGCGTCTGGCTTTTGGTTTTAGCTCGGGTCGTGATCCCAGGATTGTGGGATCAAGCCCCCGGTCAGGCTCTGTGCTGAGCGTGTAGCCTGTTTGGGATTCTTTCTCTCCTTCTGCCCTCCCTTTCTCACTCTTAAAAAAAAAATCATTTAAATAAATTAAAAAAAAACAACCACCACCTTTGTTTTGCTCAGTTATAAAAACTTTCTCTTTGCCATGATAACTTGTAATTAAAGGCCAAAATGTCACAGAATGAGGCACTGGAGTTTTGGGCGGGGTGTCCCACGCCGGACACTACTGATGTACCTGGGGAGCCTGGCAGCATTCTTTTCCTTTCACGCCACAAATGCTCCATGTGAGCAAAGCCGGCACACACGGATCTCCCTTGGGTGCTCAGGCATTCCGACTGTTGTAAAAGGGCCACCGGGCTTTCAAGACATCTTTCCTGAGTCCCTGGATTTCAAAGGGACCGGCCTCCCACTCAGACCCTCCACGGGCTCCAGGCCAGAGGAGGCAGTGAGAACTCACGGGAGGCCGGGGCCACCATGGATGAGCTGGGAAAATGGGCAGGTTTGATTGGGTTTTCTGCTCAAAATAATTCTGGGCCGAACAGAGGGAGACATGGCTGCGTGTGCAGCAAGGACGATCCATGGCGAGGGAGCGAAGCTGAATGGACCCAGATGTGGCTGTGAAGTCTGCCTTCATACGCTTGTGAATTGATGTGGATTATTTTCAGCGAAAACACATCTATCACTTGTATCCATTTGTGTGGAAGACACGTAATCCAGGGTGATGGCAGCCTCTGGGAGGTGGGTGCGAGGGCAAGGGCCTGGGTGGAGCAGAGCCGGCCTTCGCTTTATCTGATGTGTGCTACTTCTCAGAACAGTGCGGGAAGCAAACAGGACTCTGTCAACGGCTACTAACTCTACTTAGTGGGTGAGACTCGGGAGTCTGTCATATCCTTTGTACCTTCTTTCCACTGCGGGAGCCTACATGCCCTTTAAGCCCCATTGTGAGCGATCCAGGCACGTGGTTGAAAAGCGCTCCTTCAGATAAAAAGCAGAACACAGCCATCATGTGCTGAAGTACAAATTTAATAAAGCCTTTGATCACATTTTAATCCCTAGGTTATCTATGAAACCACACACACACACACAAAAATAAACGCCACAACTCTTTAGAGCCATCAAGAGCCATCGAGGTGTCAGTGAACACCAGCTATAAGGGTACAGGTTCGGGGTTTTAGTGCAACATTTCCAGCTGTTGAAGAGAACTCAAATGACATTACAAACTGCCCCTCCTCATCCAAAGAACACATGAAGTTGGTGTTGGTGCCTGGAGGCCACCCTCCCCCAGCCCCTCCCTGGTGGGTTCTCAGGCACTGAAGGCCGAGATGACACATCTCTGTGCAGGTAGGTGATCAGCTGCAGCGGAAACGCAGAAACCCGCTCAGTGCACACGCGTACTTGGAGGGCGGCGGCAGGAGAGTCGAGCTATTTAAAGTGGTAAATCCATAGAACTAGAGGTTACTAACGGATCTTAAATAATAAGAATAAATTCCTGTCTGTCTTTTGATTCCTTGCCGTCTTTCCACCAAAGGAAAACTCTGTTCTCCAGAAGCGCAGGGGCTTGGACCCAAGCAGGACGTGGCACCCAGCCGCGACCCTCTGATGGAGGCCACGGACACAGGTCTTGCCCGCTTTGCCACCAATATGCTGGAAGGCGCCCTGCTGCTTGGAAGAGAGCGGTCAGCCCTCAGCCGGCTCCGCAGGGCAGAGGAGGGGCCAGGCACTCCTGGCTTCTATCTTGGTGGTAGGGATGCGTGAGGAGCTTGACGAGGTGGGCGGGGGGATGGCTGTCGACACAGACCACAGACATGGTCTCTGTCTCAATTCCCTGGATCTAGTGAGGTTCTCATGACAAGGGGGATGGGGTGGCATAATGGGTGGAAGAGAAAATGAAGTAAAAAAAAAAAAACAACCCTAAAAACCCAACTCAGAGTTTCCTCAGCCGTTTGAGCCTCCGTCAGTGAAAGGGCTCCTGGTCCCCTGCGTTGAAGGTGGATGAGCGGCAAGATGCAAGTTTTTTGTGATGTTATCATCAATGGAGGAAGATCACTGCTGGGGCAGGCTGGGTAAGTCGGCTAGTATTTGCTGTTTCCGAGACAACAAGCAGGGCAAACCAGAGGGGGGAGGCAGCTGCCCCCTTCGGAATCAAGCAGACTTTGGGGAACAGCCAGCGCCGTCTGGAAACAGAACTGCTCTTAAGGGCCAAGGGTTTTTCTCCCCCCAAAGCCAGATGCCTAGGTGAGCGCACGAGACGGGGTGGAGCTGGTGGAGGCCTCCCCGGTGCTGAGGCCTGCTGAGTGCTCAGAGCATGTGTGGACGGGCCTGGCGCAGGGGGCGCTGCCGCTGTGTGGAAGGCGTGGTGTTGTGGCTGGGGTGGCGCCGCGGATTTCCTGGGCCCCACGGCCTCCCCAGCAGGCACCTCTGCCTCCCTGGGTGGTGGGTGGGCCTGGCGGGCTGCAGAGAGGCCACGGTGGATGCGAGGGGGGCAGGACTTTGTCGAGTGCATAGAGGCTTGGCGAGGCCTTACCTGAGTAGAGAGTTTTCAGCAACGGAAGGAGAGTGTCTCACCTGTAGCAGGCTTTGTACACTGGGCCTGTGTCATGAAAACCATTCTGGACCCTGGGAGTTCCTGGGACTCGTTCATGTGCAGCTCAAAGTCAGGGAAAGAAAAGACTCGCCAAAAAACCAAACCACCAGAAGAAGGCTCTGTGCAATCACAGGCCTCTGGAAAGCAGGAGAAAAGGACCAGCGCCGGCGGAGCTTGGAGGTTTATTCTCAACACCCTTCCCATCAGCGTCACCTGGGGAGTGCTATGGAGTTGTCACGTGCGTCCCAAGTTGTGGAGGCCACAGGGGCGTCTCATGGCTGTAGAAAGTGAGAGGTCGCCTGGCTGGGTCACATTCCCAGGCGCTGCGGCCCCTGGAGCCGGTGGCCTGGGGCCCGAGAGGCGGCCAGGGTGGACGCGGGTGCTAGGAGAGCTCGAAGCCCGTGTTCATGCTGACGGCGTAGCGCAGCTTCTCGCGGAGCACGCTCTTCCGGCTGTAGTTGGGCAGCTTGAGCAGGTTGAAGCAGGTGGAGGATGTGGGCAGGCGGCCGCCCGGCTCCCGCTTGCGGATGGTGAAGAAGCCGCGGAGGACGCTACCCAGGGTGTCCCCGGTGTCCTGCAAGCACAGACCACAGCCTTGGGGGGGCAGCCCCTGGTGCAGGAGCCTGGGCTCGTGCCAAAGCCGGCGACCCGGGAGAGGCTCCAGCTGGCCCCCCAGGGCTGAGCAGGGCGGCTGGGCGGTGAGTAGGCACGCTGCTGCCCGAGGCCAGCCCCCACACACGGCCCGACTGGCCCTGAGAGCTGAGCGGGCAGAGGCAGCGGGGGCGGCCCGGCCCTGCACGTGGACTTGGGGTCAGGCGCTGGGGGATGGGGCCTCCGGCTAGCACCTCGTCAATTTCACATGGCCAGAAAACCACAGAAACACTCGAGGGACAAAAACACGTGTAATGCAGCCAACGTTGCCTGCCGCCGGCGCGGTGGCCCAGGGCAGACTGTAAGTGGGGGCAGCTCCTTAAGTAAGGGGACTGAAGGTCATTTCGTGCCTCACGAGGGACCTGGAGCCCAGACCGCAGCACCCTGAAGGGCGGCTGCGCTCAGGGGCTACTGGGTTTTGCGGGTGGGGAGGGGAGGAGACGGGTGAGAGTTTTAACACTGACTGCTGGCAGCTACTCGAGCGCCCCTTCCCCAGAGCATGATAACCCCCAGGCATTGGCTCTCCGTCACAGGTGAGGGGAGGAAGCGGCTTGCTGGGCATGCATGGCTGGCATTCAGGCTTGTGCTGCCCCATTCCTAAGCCGCTGTCCCTACCCCTCGCCCCCAATGCCCCTCACGCCCAGAGTCCAGGCCCGGCCAGCAGCTACCAAAACCGCCCCCGGGTACTTTTTCCCCGAGGGAGTAACGAGAGCTCAGGCCCCAGAGCAGGCCGGGTCTGAGGGCATCCTCTGGGGGCTGGACTGCTCTCTGGGCAAGAGGGCTGTGGAATCTTCTCGCGTGGCTCCAAGGAGTCGCGCTGTCTGCCCCGTGGACATGGACTGGGTTAAGGCTCCGGCCGGTGGGCACGGCCGACAACAACCAAGGGGAGGGGGGCGACTCTCCCCGCACCCCCTCAGCAGTGATACCTGATCGTCTGACACTTCGACACAGCGGATGGAAAAAGGAGGCTTGAGGTAGGCGAATCCCAGGAGCGGGGGCCTGGAGCAGCTGGTCACAAACTGCAACACAAGGCAGGATGGGGGACAGAGTGGGGCTCTCACTCCCTCATAAATAGGCCCCTGACAGGCGAGCTGCGCTTTTCTGCTTTCTCTGGTCCCAGTCCCGGTAACTGGCTACCAGCAGGGTGACAGAGAGTGCATTTGGTCCAAGAGCCGGTACACATCTCACATCTCTCTTAAGGGTGCTGCTCTCGAAGGTGAATACCCATGAAAGGCACACTAGTGGCTGTGACCCAGCATCAACCCCATTACCGGGTGGAGAACGTGTAGCTGAAGAGTTCAGCAACAACACAAACCCCCCCACAGGACTGACCTCCGGTGGGTCCAACACACCAGCCGTTGCTTACACGGACACCGTGCAAAGGGAGCACTTAGTGCCTACTAAGCGCGGCACAGGAGAGGGAGGCCCTGCTCCCCCCCACACCTGGCCTCCTGCTCAGCTTCCTGGCCACACAGGCGAGGGTGTGCGGGTGCGCTCACCTAAGGCCCTGGCCTCCAGCTTTACAGACCAACCTCTGTAAGCCTGGCTGCGGGTCCCCTCTCTCACAGATCAACCTGCTCTCAGCATGAAGAAAAAACTCAGGCCTCGAGGGCCAGCGAGGCTGAGGGACAGACCAGCACTGGAAACGGGGCCTGCGGGCAGCAGGTGGCAGCACCCGTGTCAGCGCCCCCCACCCCCCCCGCGTGCTAGCTCAAGTCTGGACAGAGGACTCGGGGCAACCTGGAAACCCACAGGATAGACCTGCAGGGGGAAGTCCTATGAAACCATTTGCTTTTCAAAATTCAATGTCAGCTAAACATGCTCTCCCTTCTTCAGGGGAAGTGTGGACCCGCTACTAGGACACCAAGCTGTGCTTCCGGACGCTGCGGCAAGCCAGTGTCTGAGGGCCTGGGAGCCTGGCCGCGTCTAATCACTCCGTGCAGGCTGGGGCGCTTGCTCTGTGTCGAGGAGGCACCTGGGAGAGCCTGTGCCACCCCGGTTCGGGCTGCTCGGACCTGCTGCAAGACGGGGCTGCTCAATGCACTGAGCGGGCGTTCACCCCCCGGGGCAGGAGGAGGAGGAACAGGGGCCTGGGAAGCTGCCACCTGCCACCTACGTCTAGGGAAGGCAGAGTCCCATCCGCTCCGCTGCTACAACTATTGCGCCTTTCACCTGACTCCGTGGCCCGTCTATGGAAAAGGGAGGCCCCACAAGCAGGCACGGCAGGCCTGGCAACAGGCTATCAGGAGACACACACACGCCTGCTGTGTGGGACAGCGGCTGCTTGCGCTTGTCACACTGGTTCTCTCTTTCTGGGAGAGGCAGGGCGAGCGGCTTTACGGGTCGGCAGAGTGTTTTGCCTACAGGAAGCACTGCTGGAAAAACTGATCGATTTTCTTGAGAATCCCCTTCTGGAATGAGGTCCACCTGCCTACCCCAAGGCCCTTGAAACCTGCAGGGATAACCAGGCCCTTTCTGTAACCTGCCAGAGGGGGCCTCCTTGACGGGAACAAACTCTCCTCACAGCGACAAAGCAAGGAGGAAGAAAACCCACTGCCATTTCAATTGGTGGAGATACTGTCCTTGCTGCTTCAACAACTGGGGCCACTTGAGAAACCAAACGTCCAAAGGAGGTTATTTTAAGGCACTTAAATTCATCCCCAGAATATGACAAAATCTTCGTGACAAAATACCAAACAGAAGACCAGATGACAAAGTGATGATTCCATTTTTATAAAAACACATGGATATATAACACACACACACAGACAAGTAAATATCATCCAGTGTCCTGCAAAGCACTTTGCTGATGTCAGTAACAGGGAACCACATGGTGGCATCGAGGAAATGCTTTGAATGTTTACAACGTCAAAGACAGCAGTATAAGGGCACTGGTTCACGTTAGCCACTCTGCAAAAACATACATTGTTATCAGCCTCCTCAGCCGTATGTGTTTTTTAAAAAAAATAGTTATTTTGAGAGAGGGTGTGTGCGAACGGGGGAGAGGTGCCGGAGTCCCGCTCTGACCGGGTCCAGGGGCCCCTGAAAGATGGATGGTGTCGGTGAGGGAGGGTGAGAGAGGCATGAGATTCTTTCTGGTCACCAGCCAGGCCTCTCCGCACTGTCTGAGACTCAACTTTATTTTATGATTTAGCGTTTGGGGGAAGGCACAGAAGTGGCATTCTGATGATAAATCCTTTTATCAGTAAAAACTTTCCAGAACGCTGATATGTAAAAGGTATGGGGAACAGCTCAGAGGTGACATTAGCATAATAAAGGCAAAAGTTAGCTCTTTGTGAGCAGGGGTCAATAGCCTGTTTATCGCGTAATGGGAGGTATTAAGAAAACCGGATCTTTCAGGAATTCACTGTTGCTCCCATAACCACAAAAGAAGTTCCCACAGTAAGTTCCTTTATCAGCATATCAAGACCAGAATGCTCACTCCTATACCAATCAACAAGGTGCCCTGGGGGTTCGTACTCAAGCAGTAACAATTGGGTGGGGGTGGATATCGGTTGCCATCTGACCCCGTAAGAGTCCATGCTACTTACCTTAACCTCACAAGGAGTTCTTTCTCAACTTATGAGTTCAGAAACAGCTCCCAACAGAAAGGGGCAGAGAAAGAAGGAGGGAGAGAATCCCAAGCAGGCTCCGCGCTAAGCACAGAGCCCAACTCAGAGCTCGATGCCGTGAACTGTGAGATCATGACTTGAGCCAACGTCAAAAGTCAGATGGCCAACTGATGGAGGCACCCAGGCGCCCCTCATCCATGTGTTTTATTGGACACTGTGTGTGTGTGACACTGCACATGTCTCATTATTGAGAAAAAGGGTGCGCAGAGGCAGTCCCTGGAGTAGGAATGGAGACTGTTAAAAAGCTTGCTTGTCTGGGGGGCGCCTGGCTGGCTCAGTGAGTGGAGAGTGTGACTCTTGATCTTGTGGTTGTAAGTTTGAGCCCCACGTTGGGTGTAGAGATTACTTTAAAAAAAAATCTTTAAGAAAAAGTTTGCTTATCTGTATTTTAAGGTCATCAACACCGTTGGCTTCTATAGGGAAGAAAGGAGACAATGGGCAAGGCCAGCGCCCACGGAGGGAAAGACGGAGGGAAAGACGGGGTGTGGAGCCCAGCTGGCAGGGCCCGACAGGCATGTCTCTGCAGAGGGTGTGCAGCAGGTCCTGGCCCACCTGACTCAGCCTTGCCTCGGGGCTGTCTTATCACTACTGGACTTACCAAGGAGGCCAGCCTATGCTAGACGATATGCTGATAAAACGAGGTCCTTCTGACAATTTTATTTTTTTTTCCAGTGTAAATTACCGTGTAAAGAGGTCTCTAGGTCTAGGAGAAGATCTATGAATGCACGTGTAGGGAACATACAAAATACCTTCAGAAACATGGCTCTCTCGTCGGGCGTGAAGTCAGAGGCCAGAATATCCCAGAGCCAGAGGATGACCCTGTGACTCCCGTGGAAACCACCGTAGTACACCGTGTGCCTCCTGAAAACAGTCCAGACAGTGGGCTTAGCCACGCATTCCCATGGGCACTCACAGACATGGGCAGGGACAGGATTCAGACAAATGGCCCAGCACACCGGGGCAGGCCCGGGTGAAGACCGAAGTCCGTGTCTTCATAACCCATGTCCCCGGAAGCGAGGAGGGTGGGGAGCTCGCACCGGCTCCGCAGCCCCTAGCATCCTGCCAGGCCATCCCCCCAGGGCCCTGGAGAGCTGGCGGCCCTAAGACCTCCTCAGGCCCCACACCAACTTCACGGTCTCCAGACAGACAAGTGGCTGAGCTTGTCTCAGCTTGTCTCACTCCAGGGTGATTCACCCTTGACCAGGGAGGAGTGCACTTGGAGGTGGCTCTGGAAACAGCTCTCTGCAAGGAGCCCAGCAAAGGGGCAGAGCTTGCTTTCCAGGAGGCCCATGATTTCACCTCTCCCCGCCCCCCCCACCTCCTTGCTCCTTACTTTAAATCTTCCAGATCAATCTCAGCATTGTCGCCGGAGATGAGACGCTGCAGCTCAGGGGTTGAGAACATCCGGGTCCACTCAGGCTTGATAATGGAACGGAACCCGCTAATGAGGGCGGCTGTCTGGTTCTTGATCTGAGTGTGCATTCGAAAATGGGCCATCAGGTGGATGTAGCTAATCCTGTGGCCGACAAGAGAAAACGGTGGGAATTAAAGGGCCGGGGTGGGCTGTTACCAAGGGAATGAAAGAGGAGTCCAGTCAGTTCTGAACCATTTCACAAAAACACAAGTGGCTCCTGGCGTCTCACCAGAACAATCGTGAGGACCATGATGACGGAAGTGACTCTCCTGCGTGCCACTGCGTATGCGCTGTGCGTTCGAGCGCATCATCTCACTCCTTCCCTCGGACCAGTGGGTCATACATTGGGGGACACCCCACTGTACCGAGAATTCAAGTGAGACCTTCTCCAGCTGAGGACATGCCCCTTCTTGGTACCAGCTAAGATATAGTTCAGTCCTCACAGAAGCTTTAAAGCAGAGAACGGGTTTCATGAAGGAATCTCAGTCAAAGCCTTGCTAATCTGGACCAAGACTCTCAGCCCTGAAGAGGTCAGCCTGCGAAAAGTTGTAACCAAATGCAGTTGGCTTACAGGTAGGATGGACGGCGGTCAGAGCACGAACAACGGCTCTGAGTGGATGGACTTCTGGTTCTGTTTTTATGAGCACGGTGACCTCTACAACACCGTAAAACCGTGCAACTCTTTCGAACGGGTTAAATCCAGGCTTGCTACCATCGCTGGTTTCTCAGCAAACCATTTACTCAGAGGCGAAACAACCTGAGGCCAGCCTGAGTACAACCCTCAAAAGCCCAGATTAGCACAGTCCAAAGAAAAAGTTCATCCCACGATGTTCAGATTTGAGTTACTGACCTTGAAGATGGGACTGTTTAAACCAGGAGAAGACTCACACCCTAATACACTTCAGTAAGGTGTTTCCATCATTGTTAGCCTTCCCTGAACTCTTTGAAGCTGGTTCCCGATGTTCCATTTTACCGAAAGAGAAGGGCTGTGGGGGAATTTCCCATTTTACCTCCCCAGCCCCCAGAAAGTGCAAGATCAAACGTCACCCCAAAGCAGGGCAGCGCTGGCGTTCCCAGGCCTGTGAAAGCCGTCCGTAGAACCAGCTTCCCCGGCCCTTGTACTGAGCTTGGGCGCTAAGAACGCAAGAGGGTTTGTGAGGTGGCGTCCTGCACAGCTCTCCGGGCAGGACGGGGCCTTCACGCCAACACAGGCTGCCCTGGCCCGCTGCCTCTGGCTGCGTGGCCCGCCGCTCCCACCATCGGCCCCGTGCCGTGACGCCTGGCCCAACGCGGCCACTCTGAGGGTGGTGGGCTCTGTGTGACCTGTCACACATCTGGCGGTGGTGATGCTCGCTGCTCCCATTTATCGAGGCCTCGCTTTGAGCCACACACCCTGAAAGGTAGGTTATGTGCGCTGGTTCACGTGAAGCTGTCCAAAGGGACACCCTCAGGCAGTGCCTCCCAGCCACAGCTCCCTGGGCTTTCCCCAACTGTCCAACTGATGCCCTGTGGCTGGGAGTCAAAACTGCTGTCTTTCGGTCATGATGGATACGAGGTCTGCTCTTCTAAATAAAAGCTCTCCAAGCATGCAGAATGACCCACCCACCCGACCCAGGAGGGACATGCTGCTCGGGAACACTGGGCTGTGACGTGCATCTGATCCAAATGACTCACCGGGTGGGACTGAACTCTAACTTGTCACTGGGAGACTGATGCTCAGATTAACAGTTCAGAGGCTCCGCGGAGCCTGGCGGCAGGAGAAGATTGATAGATTGACAAAAGGGCCAATATCTACTCACCGTGCCAGGTTCTACTGTTTTAATTAGGGGAGAATAGTGCGGGTGGAGACAGTGCACTGAGGAGTTTTGCTTCCAGGGACCAAAGAGGTTGACATTTATGATAGATTTCTAAAAGCCTGTTATCTGTGACAATAGCTGCTGGGCCTCGGAGTCTCCCTGCGTCTGAGGACCTGTCTGTGGCATTTGAATTCATCACCATGTCTTCTCAAGAACAGCGTTTTATACAACTGCCACATGCTATCATTCCAAAATGATCTGCCCCTCCAAGGTGTCTTTCCGCCTCCGTGCCTTCTGGGTTTAGGACTACGTGCCTGAGTGGCTCAGAACCCATTTGTCTGCATCTCAAGCTGTCATTAAATTCCTAGGAACACCGCGGCCTGGGTGCCTCTGACCTTAGATGCGCTTCTGCAAAAAATAAATTGTCAATTCTTATTTTGCAAATCGAATTTAATACAATTTTGCCCTCTGAACTGTAACCGGTAAATTCCATGATGATATTTATGGCCTCTTTCTACTTCGATCTATCTTAATAAATTCTCCAAGTGAGCCCGGAAAGCCAGAATGAAGTCTTTTTGAGTGGTGACCTTAAAAATCTAATTGGTATACTCACTTATTTGCATTCGTGACTGGCGTGGTCTTCCCTCCGGGAGTCAGTTCATGGCAAACAAGCTGGGGGAGAAGATGGGGAGCAGTGACTCGAGAGAGTTCTAGCGGGGAAATAAAGCTTTCTTAAGATGAGAGGGCCCGACACCAACGTCCCTAATAATGACAGACTCGAGATGGGACACGTTTGGGAACAATCATCTTCACAAAAAGCCAGGGCTTCAATAGCGACAAGCAGACCCTGCATGATCAATATGGAAAGTGTCTTCTCATCCAATCTGCCTTCAAATGCTTGTGTTAAGGCTTCACGATGTCATGGAGGAGACCGTGTGAGCATTTAGGGGCAAAGAGGATGGTTACATACGTGTTGGTGCAACCACCCCCCAGAATGTCGCACAGCTATTAAAAATATGATGAAAATGTGTATTTGTGGAGCAGGTGGGGAAAAAAAAAGATTATATAATAACATGCATGGTGTGGTATCATTTCTACAAAAAAAAAAAAAAAAAAATTATAGGGGCACCTGGCTGGCTCTGTAGGAAGAGCATGCGACTCTTGATCTCAGGATTGAGTTCGAGGCCCATACTAGGTGCAGAGATTAAACAGAACTGTAAAAATTACGTACGGGCCCAGGGAGAAAAGTCTAGAAAAACACAGACCTCACATTAACAGTGGTGTTCTCCTGGCACTGGCATTAGAGGGGGTTACATTTTCGTCTTTGTGCTCATATTACAGCTGGCTCTGTGGTTGGCAGTTTGCATTACTTTTACCCTCGAGAGAAAACTGTCAGGAGGAAGGCTCAAAATCTGATTACAGATTTGAAATCCATAGAATCAAGCGTTCTCCTCAACCTCGGGAACTTCTGGGGTCACTTGAAAATCACAGAATGCATAGTTTTAAAGCTGATTTTAACAGGAATTCTATTAACGTAATTCCCTAGGTCTCTAACGATGAAAAAAGGAAGCATGGTGTACCCTAGGCCCTCTGTGGCTGACACCTCGGGCAACCAGAGAATTTTAAAGCTGGAAGGGCCTCTGGACAACCACCCAGCCTGGGGTTTCCCAGAAGGGGCTCCAGGGAAAGGCTATCTGTGAGCTACCACTGGAGGATGGCTCTCTCTTCCCCTGGGAAGAGTTCTGGGGCCCAGCAAGCCGGGGAAGGTGGAGGCCAGCACAGCTCAGTAGGTTTCTCCCTCACAGGCCAGTGGGGCCTCGGGAAGTCTAAGTGGCTGCTCTGAGGTGATGCAGGCACAGCTCTAGGAAGCCAGCTCGGCACCATGAAGCCCATGGTCCGGGCACAGAGGCTCACATAGATGTCCCCTGGGATGTAACTGGAGGGCAATGAGGGTGCTTCAGGGAAAAGCCAAAAGGAAAACTCTGGGAGCAAACTCTTCTGCTGGCACGGTTTCTAGGGTCTTTTCCTCCTGCCCTGCTCTATGACGAGCATGAGCTAGGACTGGATTCTGTCCGAGGAACCTCCTCTCGGGTGGCTTCTTCCCCTCTTCAAGCCACAAGCCTCGGTGTGTGGCAGCTAATCCTCACCACGGTAACGAAAAGCAGTGTTCCCGATGGGGAATTAGAGCTTCCATCAGGAATGGCCCAAAGTGCGAACTAATGGGCAAATCTCCGTGGGCAGCAGTCCCAGGGTCAAGCAGGCAAAGGCCAGGTCAACTGAGAACGGAAGGGGGAGCACCCTCCTTGCTGGCGAGGAGGGAGAAGGGGGATGGGCGAGGGAGCCTGGGACCAGAGAACGGACAGCCTGGGTTTGTGGACCTTCTCCTGGGGACAGTGTGAAGTGGTGGGCCGGTCTCAGGAAGCTGGTGGAGGGTGGCGAAGAACTGCTCAGCCCTCGAGGCCGACCTACCTGGCCCATGACGTCCTCATCGTACGACAGAGTCAGGCCCAGGTCAGCGATGTCGCCTTCGTAGCGCTAATGCAACAGAGAAGGGGCAGGTGTTGGGACCCAGGAGGGCTAGATCCTTGAAGGCTTGAACACTTCCCCTCCTACCCTCACCGTGAGGAAGGGGGCAGAAGCCCTAGCAGGGGACGTGGGGGCCTGTAGTGGCTACAGAGCGGCCCCTGGACCACAGCAGGAAGTCGCCTTCCACCGCCTGAGAACCCTGGGCCTCAGGCTCACTGAGTTCACACCGGCCTGCAGCCAGGCCCTCTGCCAAGCCCCACTGACCTTGATAGAAGTGAGGTTTTTGTAGAACTCGGAGTCCAGTGAAGGCAGCTCGTCCACGGAGCTGTAGAAGACGCTGTGGTGGTGCCCAAGCAGCTGGCTCAGGAAGAAGGACGCGAAGGGCACGTCTACCACAATTCCCTGCAAGAGCGAAGACAGAGGCTTGCCCATCTGCCACACACGATTCCATTGCAGCGACCTTGTTGGGCTGGCCTGGGCCGCAGCGGGGCTCTGGGTATGCCAGGGAGACCTCTAGACACGGCCTCGACTCTCACTGTGGATCAGCACCTCTTGCCTCTTCGACCAGATGCCTCTGGGGGACGTCACAGTGCAGCAGATAGGGACACAGGCCTTGGAGCTGTACCACTCAGGGAGCAAATCCCAGCTGCTCTGCTGCCTGGCTGCGGGGACATGGGCTTGCTCACCTGTGAATGGGGACCTCCCTGGTTTAAGGATTAAATGAGTAGGGTGGGGAGGAGCGCAGAGCACGGCTCCCACCTGGAGGCAGGGCAGGGGAAGCCTCTGGGAGAAAGATCTATCCAAGTGAGTCCTACGGAGCACAAAGTCTCTTGCACAAGGCCCCCGGGTGTGTTCTGGGAAGAGGACACAGAACTCCCAGGGCACAGCAGTGTTCAAGGGGGGAAAGGTGAGGGGTGAGGCCAGAGAGGAGGTGGGGCCTGATAAGGAGAGGCCTCTGGAGCCTGGACTCTGCCCCGAGGGCAGTCGGGACCCCCAGGAGGGCTTGGAGCAGGGTTGCACTTGACATGGGGAGTGGACCAGAGGCAGAAAATAAGAGGTGGGGATACAGCAAGGGAATGTGTGGTACGCTGCGGAGAATGGGCAGATTGTTCTAGGTGGAGAGAAGAGGGTGGATGGGAGAGATTTAGAAGGGACGGGGCTCAGCCCTGGTGATGGCGTCACTCGGAGGGTTGTGAGGGTAGCAGGAGTTCACACACACTGCTCCTCCCCATGGACTCGGCATGACCTAATTTCTCTCTGTGCCGTTACTGCTGGAGACGGAGACACACGCTGCGTGGAGGGAACAGGGAGCACGTTCCCAGAAGCCACAAAGCCATGTTTCTCAGCTGGTCTGACTCTTCTGGGGCACAGCGCAGCTTCGTGTTTAAAAGGGGAGACATGGCATAGGGCCAGACACATGCTCATGGGATTTTTTCTTTAAATGGGAATCTACTGAGAAATGGGGGGATCAGAAATGGGGGGATCAGAGAAGGAGTCCAGGACCCCCAACCAGCCCAGGGCACCTAACCGCACCACAGTCAGGGACCAGGGCCGTGGATGGAGGCTGTTGACACAGAGCGAATAAGTCTGCTAGGCCTGTCACAGGGCCTCTCTCCCTCCCTGTGCCCCAGCCAGAGGCTCTGCCTTCGGAGGGCCCCCTGGCTTCCTGGGGTTTGTGTTGGAGTGAGAGGGGGGATGCTGTACAGGCAGCTTGGGAGCTCACGTGAAGGCTGCGAGAATGGCAGCCCCAGGGAGCTGCCGCAGCTTGACTTCTGGCCTGGGGAGGAGGACCTGAAGGGCAGGACCTAAGTGCTCCCTGGCTGGGCTCACGGCAGACAGGGACCGGGACCTGTGGGGGCCTCGCCTGGAGCCCGCACAAGCCCACGCCACCCTGACCCCACGGGACCGAGGAGCCAGGCAGCACAGGTGTTCTACCTATAATAGCTCATTTAACCATCTGCAGCCAGCCAACAACGTGGCTTTTCTTACCCCTACTTTTTATGATGAGAACAAGGGCCTACAGAAATAAAAGCGGGGCGCCTGGGTAGCTCAGATGGTTGAGTGTCTGACTCTTGACATCAGCTCAGCTCATGATCCCAGAGTCACGGGGTTGAGCCCTAAATCGGGCTCTGTGCTGAGCGTGGAGCCTAAAAATCTCTATCCCCCGCCCCTCTCCCTTGCTTGTGCTCTCTCTTAAAAAAAAAAAAAGGAAAGTAAAGCAACTTGCATGTGCAAGTCACAGAGCTAGCCAGGGAAGATGGGTCTCAGCCAGGAGGTGTGGACTCCGTCCTGCTGTCCGTAGGCACCACCTGACCCCTGGGGCTGGCTCTGAAGCACTCACTCTGAAAAGAACAGATTTACAAAGAGCCCTAACAATGATCACACCCCACAAAATGCTATCCTCCTACAACTGGGACCAGGCCGGCTGGAGTTTGAAGTTGGGTTCTACGGATTAACCTCCACCGAGACTCTGGACGAGTGTCTGGATGCCTCAGTTCTGTCACCTGCAGGTAAATGGGACAGCAGCCGCAGCGCAGCACTGGCCAGAGGATGAAATGACATTCTACCCTCTTTCTGGGACTCCATCCTAATGACAGGCCCCTCATGTGGCTAGGCCCGGCCACCAGCACGCACAAAGCCCAAGGGGCTTGTTTTCCCTTCCGGGCAACGCCCCTGAACGGGCCTACCTCATACACCGCCTTCCCTAGCATCTTGCCCACGAACTCGAAAAGCTGCAGGTAGTTCTCATGAATGTAGGAAGTGGGTGAAGGGTACAGCCTCTCGTCCCCGCTGGTCGTCTGCGAGGAAGAACGGAGAGAGAGGCACGGAGGTTAAATGCCTCGTAACGAGGAAGCCCAGCCCTTCACTTCTCGTTTGTCACTGAGACCCTGACTGCTGTCAGCCCCGCTCCCGCTGCCCTTGAATACCTTGAAGAGATTGAGTGCTGGGTCGAACACCCTCTTGATGATTTCCTCCAAGAACTCCTTGAAAACACCGTCCTGGTCGATGCCGGCCTCATCCACCCCGAGGTCATTGACGAACTTCACGCGGATGACCCCCTTCATGGCGTGCTGGGACAGCTGTCGGAGCTGCTCGTAGCCATCCTGCCGAGGCCAGAATTGCAGCTGTCAGGAGCGGGAGGTCGCCAAGGCCCCGCTCCCGAGTGTGGCCCGCCCGGAGGGACTATTAAACAGTTAGGCCGTGGGGGGGGTGGGGGGGTGGGATGCGCAGGTCTCACCTGCTTTTAAACGAACTTGTTAAAAGGAAAACTCATTTTGGAGATGTGCCACTATTGCTCTGTGGCAAGGGAGGCTGTCCCTGAGATGATGCCGGGCACCGAGATGCGGAAACCAGGCAAGGTGAGTTGATACACTCCTGGCTGTCCCACAAAGGATGCAAGAAACTGGGACAAGATCCCACCCTATTTTAATGCAAAGAGTAGCTGATTTAGCTCATGGTAAAAAATCAACCAGTGACAACCAACAGAATGGGAAAAGATAGTTGCAAATGACATATCAGATAAAGGGTTAATATCCAGAATCTATAAGGAATTCACCAAACTCCACACCTGAAAAACAAATAATCCAGTGAAGAAATGGGCAGAAGATATGAACAGACACTTCTCCAAAGAGGACATCCAGATGGCCAACAGACACATGAAACGCATCCCTCCTCATCAGGGCAATACAAATCAAAACCACACTGAGATACCACCTCACGCCAGTCAGAGTGGCTAAAATGAGCAAATCGGAGAACTCTAGATGCTGGCGAGGATGTGGAGAAACGGGCACCCTCCTACACTGTTGGTGGGAATGGAAACTGGTACAGCCCCTCTGGAAAACAGTGTGGAGGTTCCTCAGGAAACTAACAATAGAACTCCCCTAGGACCCAGCAATAGCACTGCTAGGAATTTACCCAAGGGATACAGAAATGCTGAGGCATAGGAGCACATGTACCCCAATGTTCATAGCAGCACTCTCCACAATAGCTAAAACATGGAAAGAGCCTAAGTGTCCATCAACGGGCGAATGGATCAAGAAGATGTGGTTTACCTATACCATGGAATACTACATGGCAATGAGAAACGATGAAATCTGGCCATGTGTAGCAACATGGATGGACCTTGAGGGTGTTATGGTGAGCGAAATAAGTCAGGCAGAGAAGGACAAATATCATACGTTTGCACGTATAGGAGGATTAGGAGGAACTTGACGGAGGAACAAGGGGGAGAAGAAGGGCGGAAATGGTGGGGGAAAGGGAGAGAGGCAAACCAGGAGAGACTCTTGAATGCTGACAAAAACTGAGGACTGATGGATGTGGGGGGGAGGGGGGATGGGCACGGAGGAGGGCACTTGTGGGGATGAGCACTGGGTGTTATGTGGAAACTAATTTGACAATAAACTATTTGTATAAAAAAAAAAAAAAGAAACTTGAAAAAAAAAATCAACCAGTGAAACTCACAGACTGCCACAAGGTGAAAAGTTAAATACCCCCCCCCCAACCCCCGCCACTGCTCAACTCCTGATATCTTTCCCCAGATCACAAAAGGGCTGGTGAGTCAGGCTGAGGAATTTAGGTTCTATGCTGAGGGCACTAGGGAGCCACAGAAGAGTCCAGGCAGGGAGCGACGTGGCTGGCTTTCCCAGAAAGATCGTTGTTGGTGGCACAGCAGCCGATGGAGGGGACGAGGGTGTGGGATTGGTAGGCGGGGGCAGTGGAGAGAAGGCTGCAGCCAGCCCTCAAGGCATGTAGCCTCTGGTGCGCCTCCCCATGCAGACCTCGAGGACACGACTTTTGAGTTCTTGTAATCATCCTGTTTCGTCTGCCTCTTGATTCTAATGTGTCACGGTCTCCCAGGTTCCTGGCATGTGGACGCTGATAGGCGCTCAGGCGTTCGGTTCAGAGCAGTGACTGTCAGAAGCAGTGAGCAGGACAGTGGCCGTGGAAGAGTCTTCTGTTCCAACACGAGGCCCCGTCATAGGGGAGAAACCGAGTTCTTCAGATCCTGTCGCGTAAGGTACAAATCAACTGCAACGTCCCTACTGAGGCTGCCCCGTGGGTCTCCCTCTCAGGCATGACCACGGTGCCGTCAGACATTCTGCTAACATGAGACGGAGCATCTCGACGGCGCCCACCTGTCTGCCAGTCCGGCCCCTTGACACAAAGCACGCCAGGCCAGAACGGTAGGACCTGCTTTGGGAAAGCCTTGGCGCCTTCCTGCTGATGACATTTGTCTAGCAATGCAGAGGGCTGTCCCAAGTCTCTCTGGAAGGCAGAGGACCACGGTTTTGGGTGCACAGGCCTGAGAAGTACTCTGTATGCATTTGGGAGTTTGAAAACCATGAAGTTAGTTGCAAAGAAGTGGGAAACAGGAAGTCACTGGGCGGCGCCAGCGGCAGCGTTTAAACCGCCCAGTCTCCATTTAAGATCACTATCTTGGCACTGGCTTGGGGATGGGGGGAGAATTCCAGCATCTTCTTGCTTGCTTGCAGGATTTCCTCTGATTAAACGAGATGGTGTTCTGTGCAAGCACTTAGCACACAGCTGAACACATGGGAGGCACTTAAGGAATGCTAGTTGGAGTCAAATCTTATTTTTATTTTTAATTTATTATTGATCGATTGAGAGGGGTGGGGCGCAAGAGGCAGAGAGAGAGGAAGAGAATCCCAAGCAGGCTCTGTGCTGTCAGGTGACGTGGGGCTCGACCTCACAAACTGTGAGATCATGACCTGAGCTGAAATCAAGAGTTGGACACTTAACCAACTGAGCCCCCGAGCGCCCCTCAGTTCTTCTTCAGCCCCACGTTGGCCTTTTCTCTGAGGAGCTGTAGTGAGAGCTTTGGCAGCTGCCTCTGACATAACTGCCGGCTGCACTCCACAGCCTCTGGGAGCTGACGGCATCGCCCATGGACTCTGTCTACATCTGTCCTTCCTTCTGGAAGGCGGGTGGGAGAATGGCGTTCCTCTTCTCTACTGCGTCTCAAAGACCCTGACCTGGGAGAGAGCTGGCTCCCAGGCGCGGCTCTCCCACGACACCTGAGTGAAGCTGACTGCGAATCTTCGCCTCTCTGGCCTCAGGTCCGCCTTTGAACAGAGTGGGGGACAGGGCTGGGCCGAGTGTGGTTAAGCGTCACCCTGGTTCCGAGAGGCTAGGGTCCCAGCCCCAGTTCACCCTGTGTGAGGGGACACCTTCCTGCAAGGCTTGAGACTAACACCAGGAAGCGGAGTGCTGAGCCGCCTGTACCTTCAGTACAAACCACAGAAGAGGGAACAGAATAAAAGCCCAGGGTATCATAGGAGCGGCTGACATCAGTTTTGTGATGCCCCCTTGTGTCCGAATCGGGCAAATGCCGCCGCGCTCTCCAGTTCTGACAACTGAGTCACCAGGTAAGGAGAATGATTAGGGTTCTGGCACGTACGACCCTCTCCCTTCCCAATTCCATACAACAGCGATCAGGTTCATGACGAGACAGACTCTAACGGGACGTGGAAAGGAAAGTGGACTTGGCCTAAAACCTGAGACAGCCACCCTCCTCTGACACCGATGGCTGTGTTAGAAAGCAGGCCCAGGGTCACGGGGCGCCAGGTGACCCTCCCATACGGAGGGACGCCTGAGGGAGTCGGGGATTCCATCACTCTCAGGACACCCCGGGTCTACAAGCCCAGCCTTCCCAGCAGGGCCGAACACATCTGAGGGTGACTGGGGATGATAAGGGACGGGGAGGAGCGTCCAGGTCTGAATGACGAAAGTGCCGCAGAAGGGAGGTTCCAAACCCACTGGGGCTCTTTCTTCTTGGAGTCAAAGCAAAGCTTGCAAACTGGTGGCCCACAAGTTGAATTTAATGGGAAGACAGCTATTATCTAGCCTTCCAGGCACATTACAAAATTCCATCAGCTCACAGCACAAAAGCTCGGGGATCTCATACATACAAACTCCCACATTTTGGCCTACTCCAAAACACCCAGAGCATAGCGGAGCCTAAATCGCTGCATGGAAGTAGTCAGGTGGAACTGAGTGGAGGTGGTCTCTTTTAGGGGGGCATGTGCTCCCCCTGCCCACCCCTCTCTACTGCTTGAGGGCACTCAGGCTGGATGCCATGTGTCATCCATACACTCATTAGTGGGGCTCGTTTTGTTAAGTAGTGACCAAAACTGCGGGCCGTGTTTTGGAGCGGGGGCGAGGGGCCGGGGAAGTGAAGAAGATTCCTGCTGTTCGGCATGCACACAAGATGCTCCTGCGTGGACACGCATGGCCAGCCTCACCCGTTCCCACAACCAGCGGGGTCCTTGTAGGCGCTTACATTTCTTATCTCTGCTTTTAAGAATGTCAAAAATGTCATCTGGTTACATCTGGTGCCTTTCCCCAGCACACCGCAGGGTCAATCACCAGCGTCCGGGGGGACTGAAAGCAGCTCTCCAGGAAGGAGCGTGAATACCCCAAGGGAGAAAATGAAAATGTGTCGGGGAGGAAGGGCTGCTGCCATGGCCAGTGGCTGGTGGCCAGTTACACGTGGCCATGTGCTATCCTGGGATCCTATGACTGCCCTATGATCCTATGCCCTATGATCCTATGACTGCCTATGATCCTATGACTGCCCTCCACCGCAGGACACGCTAATGAGGAATGGTGGCTGGAGCGAGATCAAAGGTCTGAAGAGCAAGCACGGGCAAATAAACCAGCACAGCCTCTCTTGTGGGCTCGGGGCTCAGTCACCAATTCCACTACCGCTGGTGGGATCAGCACATGTGGGCAGGTGCCACACTGCACAACCCTGGGGGAGGGTATGGCACACACAACGCAGACCTCGCGGTTACATACATTTATTATAACAACGTTCCAGCAGATGGTAGTTGGCGTCTTGTTCCAACAAAATCAATATATTATTACAATTTTCTGATGTATAGAGGTAAAGTATTCTGAGGACAGGCACTAATTTCCGGTCCACATGAAGTTGCCACAGAGTAGTAACCGCAGACACTGGGTTTGGCTGAGGGGAGCCACTTTTTCCTCCCAAGTTCACGTCTACAAAGAACTCCTAGCTCTGTAATAAAAGCACTTCCCAGGATGGCTCAGTAAACTTGCTACCTACACCCCAGCCTCCACGCTCATGGTCGGGAGTCTGGCCAGAGTGCCTACCAGGACAAATGGAGTTTGCACAGACTCGAGCATGCCTGCACACGGCACCTCCTGTCCTCACTGCAAAGAGGCACAGTGTTCAGTGCTCCAGCCCAGGGGCCCACATGGGGAAAGGAAGGGCAGCACTGCACTGCGGGTTCCCAGCACTGAGGACATGTTTACTCAAGTGGCTCTTTGGAGCATCTATCAGGGCAAATGGCCCCATTCTGCTCCCTGAGCCTTGATTTCAGTGTCGTTGGACCAAGGGGAGACAAGAACAGTTCAGAGGCAATAGATCATCCCCTGACTTCCCCACTCCCCATCTCAGAGAGCACGCCTCTTTGTGATGGGCTTCTTACCTCCAACATGCGGGACCGTCGGATTGTGATATGAGTGACGTGGGGAGAGGCCGAGCTAGTTTCCACGAGCCCCAGCTTCTCCTTCTCCTTGGTAACCATGTTTCGGAACAGGAGAACTCTCTAAAATGAGCAAAGGTGAGACCAGGAACTGGGTCAACAGCTGATGATTCCCTGAGACACACTGCAGGGGGCTAATGGAACAAGTCACGTGACAGGCCACCACAACAGGACGCCAATACGTGCTACGGGTCAGAAGTGTCTTGGGCAAAGAGCAGACGGCCCTAAAACACCCTTGGGAATTAGAAATACAGCTGAGTACATGCCAAGGAAGAAAGGCCCCAGAAAGAGTGTTCTGGCTGCAGTCAGAGTCTGGTTAAAAATGGTCTGGGAGCTGGGGTGCCTGGGTGGCTCAGTCAGGTAAGCGCCCAACTTCAGCTTGGGTCATGATCTCACAGTTCATGGGTTTGAGCCCCACACAGGGGTCCACGCAGTGTGGAGGGTCTTTGGGATTCTCTTTCTCTCTCTCTCTCTCTCTGTGCCCCTCCACCACTCACGCTTTCTCTCTCAAAAATAAGCTTAAAAAAAAAGAACGGTCTGGGAGAAAATCATTCTTGTTCAGTCAATAAGTCACTGTAAAAACCTGGTGCTAGAAGACGATACAGAGGCTGCTTTATATAGCTATCCTGCTTTAAAGGAAATCAATGTTAGGAGTTAAAAAACAGAAACATTTCAAAGATAATTTTTTTCACTGTCAGAAATTTCAAAAAACAATCCCACAGAATAAAGGTCCCTGACCTTTTATCAGCCTCGTCCGTACCCTTAAGCACATCATAGGCCCCCTCCCGTCCGTAATATTTCTCAATTATGGTTAGAGAAGAATCCTCTCTCCCCACGGTCAAGAGTCTGATAAGCCCCTTTTAGGAGAGCATGACCCTTCACCCTGTCCTGGGTTTGAGAATCACTGCTGTAAAAGCACCCTGATGATGTCACCTGAATGAAGAAATCAATCTAATCACTGCTGTTGTTTTTTAAAAACGGGAATCCCCTCAAAAGTCAAAAGATGTGTTAAATACAAGAACACAGTCAGGATGATACCACCAGCAGTGGTAACGAGAGCTAATGATACACAGGAGAGGCTAGCGTGCTTACGTTTGATCATCTCACTGACCATGAAGCTAATGTACGGCTGCGGCAGGAAAAGCAATTGCCGACGGCCTCCTGAGGGGGAATGCGTCTGGCAGAGGGGTTACTTCTCAGGGGAGCAGCCTGATGTGGCTGGTTCATGAGCCTAGGAACAAGGGCTGAAGTGCCCTGGATGGTATCAGAGGCTCCCGGGGCTCCGGGACAACGTGGAAGGGAAGAACGGATTGAGCAACAGAGAGGGAGGCTGTGATGGGGATGAAGGGCCCTGCCACGTCTCTCGTCTGTGCAGGGGGAGTGGAGACTTCCAGAACAGGTCTTTAACTCGTGTGGGGCCATGGGGCACGACTGTTGGCTCTCACCCCAAATCTTTAGCAGGATCACCTGAACATGAGGTAGAAGAACAGCTTCCCAGGGCACCTGGGCGGCTCAGTCGGTAAAGCGTCTAACTCTTGATTTAGGCTCAGGTCATGATCTCGCCGTCACGAGATCAAGCCCTGAGTCAGGCCCTGCGCTGATACTGTGGAGCCTGCACGGGATTTTCTGTCTCTCCGTCTCTCTCTGCCCCTCCCTCCACTCACATGCGTGTGCCTCTCTCTCTAAAAACGAATAAATAATCATTTAAAAAAAGTTAAGAGAAAAGCTTCTCATCTGGGTTAATCTGCTATGGGGCAGAGACATCCACCTAGAACCAGAAGTGCAGAGGTGGCTGTGAGAAGGGCAGGAATCAAGGAGAGACTGCGTGGGGCTCTGGTCTCCATGGGGCGTGAAGGAGAAGGTTGGGGGCACCTGTAAGCAGCTCTCAAGGGTCTGAGATGGCAGCAGACATCTGGAAAAGGGTCCTTGTCTCCATTTTGCAGACGAAGACACTGACTCACTCAAAGTCACACAGCTGGTGGACAGGGGCCATGGTCAACCCCGGGACTTGGGCACGGACCACCACACCACACAGTCCCTGCCCACCCTGCATGGCACTAGGCCTTCCAGGCCAAAACCAGGGAGAGAGGCCTCAAGTCCCAGTCAGGGATGAATCGATCGCACATAAAAGTGCAACAGCGGGGCGCCTGGGTGGCTTAGTCGGTTAAGCGTCCGACTTTCGCTTGGGTCATGATCTCGCGGTTCGTGGGTTCGAGCCCCGCGTCGGGCTCTGTGCTGACTGCCAACTCGGAGCCTGGAGCCTGTTTCAGTCTGTGACTCCCTCTCTCTCTGACCCTCCCCTGTTCACGCTGTCTCTCTCTCTCCTGGAAATAAAAAAAAAAAAAAAAGATTAAAAAAAAAGTGCAAAAGCAACATGAGAAAGCACAGAGAAGAAAGTGCTGTGTGCACAAATGAGGCAGGGCTGAAGCCTTTGAAACATGAAGGGAGGTGAGCATAGCTTTGTGGGCCACACACATGAACGATATCAAGAATAGGGAAAGGTATGGCGTTGAGGGTAGATGTCACAGTGACAGACGCAAGACAACGGGCAGGGCTGGAGAGACTCTAACCGCCCTCCCCCCACGTGCTCCGGCAAGAATGTGCAGCACGTGCCCATCAGGAAGGGACAGCGCCCTCGCTGCTATGACATACTGAGCCCTCCTGGACCTGCTGGGGCCATGAAAGGGTCAGGACAGGGGCCAGGGGTCAGGGAAGGGTCTCCAAGAGATGAGAGAAAGAGTTCCTGAACCAAGGACAAAAAGCTGGGATGGCACTCTTCAGCACAATGCAACGTGGATTAGATTACAGCCCGCTCCCAAGTTGCACCAACTAAACTTGGAGCTTCTCAGGCTTCTTGTGCTCAGTACCCCTAGGGGCTCAGGACCATCACAGTACTCCTCAGCCAAAAGAAATACTAACAGTGCTATCTACGAGATGGCGAGGGTCCTAACCACTTGATAAATATTCATGTGCAAAGAGCTTAGTTGTGTTTTAAAAATACACGCACGTGGAAATAAAATTCAGTTTTGTTTTTAAAACCCGGCATAGCAAATGGGGGATCTTCGAAAGGAGCGCTAAGCCCGTGAGCTCGAGCTGGAGCCCCACAGAGTGTCCAGCGAGTCTCACCATGCTCTTCTCAAATGCTGAAAATGCCTTGTGACAAGTCAGGGTCACTCCGCACGGTGTCTGTGACCTGCAGACACATGGGGCGGTGAGCCCAGACTGCACGGGACGGGAATGCCACGGTCTAGGGCTGACCTCAAGGGCACGCGGGTCCAGGGCGGGGTGCTGTGTTTTCAGTCAGACTGCACCAAACTGGACGAGGCCTAGGGGAGGAGGGGCCCGAAGCACGTCCAGGAGGAGTAGCTGGGGAGGGGAAGGATGCTACCCACGGCACAGACGACCCAAGGGCGGACGAGTGTTGTCTGCACATCTTGGAAGATTTAGAGATTCCCCTTGGAATGGTTGTTCAAGGACCAGAGGGTAGAAGTTACAGAGAAGTAAATTAGTTGCAGGTGAGGAAGAACATTCCATCACTGGGAAGAGTAAAGCAACAGATTGGCCAGCGTTGCGAGACTGCAGGTCTTCTATCTGAGGCAAGGTCAGGTGTACTGTCGGGGGGAGGGGGAGGTGCTCCCACCTGGGTGGGGGACGGGGCAGAAGGCGGCACACGTTCCCTAAGTAAGCTCCACAAGGTCCCTTCATCTCTAAGAGGCTCTGCTATCAAGTGCAATAAGAATTTAAACAGCCACATCCGTCTGCCAATCACTACTTGAGAGTAAAGAATGGCAATGTGAGTATTAACATCAAGGTCAGAACAATATCAAAGAGCAGCAAGGAATAAGCATCTCTGAAAAATAAGGTTCAATTTACAAAAATGTGACTTAGGCTCTTTTCTAAAAATGTCTTTTGTCCAAAAAGAAAAAATAGGGGGTGGAGGAAGGGCACCTGGGTGACTCCATCTGTTGAGCATCTGGCTCTTTCGGCTCACATGGTCTTGCAGTTCATGGGTTCGAGCCCTGTGTCGGGCTCTGCACTGATGGCACAGGGGCTGCTTGGGATCCTCTCTCTCCCTCTCTCTCTGCTCCTCCCCTACTTGTGCTCTCTCTCTTTCAAAATAAATAAACTTAAAAGAAAAAGAAAAACGAAAAGAAAGGCACACAAAGACCTGTAAAAGCCTCTTCTGAAGGCGGCTTCAGGCAGACATTTCTGGAGTGTCCACCACGACCAGGGACGTGGGCAGTGCCTTCCCTCATTTCCTGACACTCTGGCCACAGAGTGTGGCCAGACCCTTCCCGAGACTCTCCCGTCCCCTGGGTCCAGGTGCCATGCTGCTGGTTTCCTTCCTCTGAGGAGTCCTCCCCTCATGCTGGCCCTCTGAAGGACAGGTCCCTGGCTGCCTGCCTCCGCCTGGTTCCCTGATCACCCTGTCCGCGTCCATGGGTGCAGCCAGATTTGGACACTGTCCACACGCAGGGTCTCTCTCCACCCCACTGTCTGATGGCCTCGAGCAATGGCAGACACCGCACATGCGGCCTGCTCAAAGCTGACCTCACCAGCACCTTTCAGACCTCCTCTAGCCTGTGCTCCTATCCTGGGGAATGACACCCCCAAGCGCCTGGGAGCCCAAGCCAGAAACCCGCCCACCACCCGAATCTCTCCTTTCCTTCTCTGAATGTCTTTGCTCTCATTCTATCATCTCTCCACCTTCTAAATTCTTTTTTTTAATGTTTATTTATTTTGAGAGAAAGAGAGAGAGAGAGTGTGTGTGAGTGGGGGAGGGGCAGAGGGAGAGAGAGAGAGATTCCGAAGCAGGCTCTAGGCTCTGAGCTGTCAGCACAGAGCCGGACGCGGGGCTCGAACTGACAAGCAGGGAGATCATGACCTGAGCTGAAGTCGGATGCTTAACCAACTGAGCCCCCCAGGCGCCCCTAGAAGGAACCTTCTAAAAACACAGCTCTGAACAGGTGCCCCCGAAGCTGATACTGCTCCAACGGCTCTGCCCCTGGTTTGCAAGGTCCTTCCAGCTCCAAGCCTTACAGCCACCCTCGGCTCCCCGGCTCTCCTTCACGTCCTCCACAGCCAGACCACACACCGGGCCTTCCACTGGAGCGCAGTCTCAAGCAGCCGGGCCTGTAACTACTGGAGGCCTCTCCTGACTCCCTTCCCCCTGTTCGCAGCTGGCCCTGGGCCCCAGCCTGGGCTCCCGCAGCACCCATCCCTGTAACACGCACCCACGGCCAGAGCTGCCAGCTCACACTTCTGTTTCTGTACTCGGCTGAACGCCTAACATGGAGGGAGACCCTCTCTCCGCCCGCAGGTGCTGGGGCAGAAGGATGCGCGGGGCCCAGCTCTGAGAGCGACTCACGTTTTTGTGGGGAATGACATGAGGGATGTACTGCAGGATCAGCTGCGCCCGTTTTCTGTCCTTGTCCAGTTCTTGGAAGAGCACGCTAGGTTTGAGATCCCTTCAGAAGGAAGGCACGGGTCTGGGTTATTACAGGGCAGCCACTCTCCAGTGCAGGGGCGGCCAGCCTGCCGCCAGTTTTGTAAATGCGGTTTCGGCGGGACACGACCACACCCATCCACTGTGCCTCGTCCCTGCTGCTCTCACGCTACAGGCAGAGAGGAGTTCTTGCAACAGAGATGATGGTCTGCAAAGCCTAAAAGACTTAACTCGCTGGTCTGCCAGAGCCCACTCCAGTGCCACAACACAAGAGCTGAAAGGTCACTGATAAAAAACCGCAGACGTCTTGGGGCACCAGGGTGGCTTGGTCGGTTAAGCGTCCGACTCTTCATCTGGGCTCAGGTCATGAGCTCACAGTTCGTGAGATGAAGCCCTGCGGCAGGCTCTGCGCTGAGAGCATGGAGCCTGCTGGGGATTCTGCCTCGCCCCCTCTCTGCCCCTCCCCAGCTTGCTCTCTCTTAAAAAAAAACAACAAAAAACAAAACTGCAGGCATCTTACATTGAGTTGTAAGTGAATTTCCTTACCCTACTCCCCAAAAAGCTAGCTGTAGTTTTTATCCTGCTCATTCAGTTGATAAAAACCACCCTAAATTCTCATAACCTGCCGCTTAGTTTAGCTACAAGAACTTTCTTCCCGATTGCTAACTGTGGCTTGGCTTTGTCACCATTACTGAGCTCTAACCACCCCCAGGGTAAGCACATCCTCACAGACACCAACTGCTAGGCGGTCTGTCCTCCCAGGTGGTCAGAGGCTGAGGGAGAGATGAAGACCCCTCAGCCCCAGAGCACGAGACTGACCGCCTGACGGAGGGGAGCCCAGCCCCTGCACCCCCGCTCGCCCAGCCCCGCTCCTCACTTCCGCAGCCAGTGGTCCTCGGGGGCGAAGCGCCGCCGGCAGTCCCTCTCGTACAGCACCATCAGCCAGCCGTGGACAGAATGGAACAGCTCCAAGGTGTCCCCCTTGGCGTTCTCTGTGGGCCAAAGAGATGGGAGAGCTATATGCACAGAGCCGGTCGGGGCTGGCGAGGAGGACGGGGTCTTGGCTCTGCTGGACACCAGATCCCCCACCCCCCCGCCCCCGAGGTCTTGGTCTCCCTCGCCCTGGGGTCTACGTGGAATAACAGAATAAAAGCTGTCCTGGGTACGTCCTGAGTGTCTGCAGGACCCTAGGGTCTCAGACACAGTCACCCCACTGCCTCCCACTAGCAGGCCATCCCAAGGACCTTTTCAATCTCAGGAGCTGTGTACTAAGCAAACTGGAAGTACTTTAGGAGGTGAGCTCGGATTTGGCACGTGACCTGACACGTGTTTTCTTTTCACGGAAATCGACTCAGAGAAGCAAAGGGAGGTTCAGGGCAGAATCATCATTGTTAATAATCCTTCACACCTACACGTACATCCTGAAGGGAGATGTAAGACTTCCGTATTTGCACCTACTATCTTAAGAGGCCGCAGACAGAAGAAGTAAAACTTCCAATCATGTGACTAAACGTGCCTGTTCAGTTAGCTGTGGCGGGCAGTGACGCCAAGAATGATGTCGACGTTCTGGACCGCGTGCGGCACAAGGGCCGGCATCTTTACCTTACCTACGATTCCATCCCAGATCATCTTAAACACAAAGGAGTTCAGGAAAGAGGAGATGGTGACCAGCTCTTCCAGTTTGAATGAGATTTGTTCTTCATAAACTTCGATGTCGTCAAGGATCCTGAATCAGATGGAAAGATAGTCACAACCGCCCACCGAGGAAAGGGGGAAAATGAGATGTGTATCTCTTATTAGACACACAGAAGCTCACGAAATAAGCTCTGATGGGTAGGATTTGCTTCAGGAGAACCTGGAGGGGAGAGCGGGTGGGGGCAGAGGTGAAGCAAATGCGACCACGTGCGGATGAGTGTGGAAGCTGGTAATGGGCACGTGAGGGGTCCTTCTACCCTCCTCTCCACTTTCTATTATTTTGAAATTGTCCATAGTGAAAATTTTAAAGCCACAGCTGAGAGAGGAAAACAACAAACTCTCTATATTTTTCTTATTCATAAGGATCCGACTGCAACATCTTAATTCATGCCTATCCACGCCTATCCAGAAACCCTGACAGAGTCTGTGCTCACTGAGCAAAGCTGTAGAATCTTCCTCTGCATCTGCTGCAGCCAATAGTGACCCTTAGTAGGTACCGGAGGAGTGTTTATGAGGGAATAAATAAATACATGTTTGAAAGAATGTGTGAATAAATGGACTGTTTAAGGTACAGGTCTACCTGAAAATTTCCTAAGTCTGCTCCATTCACTTTAAAGCACTATTCGCTCTTGGATCACCCTGGACCCAGCCCTTCAGGGTGTCATTACCCTTGCTCTTGCCTCCAACTGCTCACGGAGCCCCTCTCTCCGCGATTCTTACCCAATCTGCCACCTACGTGTCCCTGATACCCTCCTACCCAGTGTCTTCTGCCATGAATGTAACTGCCTGGGGCCCATTCTCATAATTCTTTACCAACCTTTGGGAAAAAAATGGAATGAAAAGAATACCAAACACACAAGCAGACACATAAGCTGAAAAAACAAAAGAATGAACTGGGACACATTTGTTAGTTCCCCACCCTGAGCACTACACTGAGAACTTGACTTTCCTTTTCTCACGTACTCCCTATCAGATGGCTGATATTTCCATTCTTTGAAGGAGTAAGCTCAGGGTGGTTAAGAAACTTGCCTAGGGTCAGCGATAATAATGACAAGAATAACAGCCCTTCCTAAGTGTCCCTGTGCTAAACACTTTGTGCTTTATCTCCTTCAATCCTCACCGCATAGCCCAGAGACACGTGCTACTCTTGTTCCCACTTCGAGATGAGGAACCAAAGGCTCAGAAAGGCGGAGTCCCCTTGCCCAAGGTGTCTCAGGAAGTGGCTCACCCAGGACTTGCATCCCCACACTCTGGCTGCGGAACTTTCCAGGTAACTGTCTAACCTAAATGGTGGAGCAGTGATTTGAACCCAGCTCTGGGAGACCCCAGAGCCCACATTCTGTGGTACTAACCCAGCTCCCCTGGAAGGATGGAACTAAGAACTGCTGAACCCCCACTATGTGCCACCTATTCCATAATCGTTTTCTTGTCTAATAACCCTGCCACATGGCTCCAGAGGATGGCGGTAATCACATCAGCAACCACTTCCTTACTGACACTGTAACTGGGCTTCTCCACGTTCTAGGAGAGGAACCCAGGACCACAGCAGTCAACCTACGTGACGAGGTGCCGGGAGCAGTCACAGAACAGCGTCAGCATGGCCAAGAGCTGCTTGGACTCTTCGGTGTCATTGTTGAGGCACTCCGAGAAGAGCTTTAGCCCTCCATGGGGCCCCAGCTCACAGATAAACGCCCACAGTTTGGGGAGCAGGTCATCAAGGTAAGTGAGTCCTGGAAAAGGACAGAAAAACCCAAGCTTCAGGTGGGGGCTCCCTCTGGTTCCCAGTTTCTCCTCCCCACTGGGGGAACAAAACACTTACTCCTGTTATTGGACATTTAATGGGTGTGAAAGAAGGTGCAGTTACTAAGAAGAATCCGGTCACCACCAGAGTAATGACGGCAATAACAGCTAACGTTTAATGGCGCTTTCCGTGTTCCAGATGTCATTCTTAGTACTCTGTGTGCATTACCACCTTTCTACCTCGTGAGATACAACATTACCTCTATCTCATAAGGGGAGAAACTGAAGCCTGGAGACCTGAAGTAATGAGCCCCAAATCACCCAGTCCAGTAAGTATCAGAGCCAAGAAAAGGAACCCAGGTCTGTTTGACTCAGTGTTTACATTTTAAATCAGGGATTCACAAATTTTTTCTGGAAAGGCCTAGAGTCAGTACTTTCAGGCTCTGTGGGCCTGGCCTCACACCCTGCCACACTACTGAATGCTACCAGCATAGCACAAAAGTAGCCACAGACAAGATGTAAATGAATGGATGGGCTGTTTCAATAAAACTTTATTTACAAAACCAAGTGGTGGGCTGCATTTGGCCCATAGGCTGAAGTCTGCTGAGCCCTGCTTTAAACCATCTTTCTGGCTCACCTACACTTGGCAAAGTTTCCTCTCCTGTACTATTCTACCTTTGTTAAAAATGGGAAAGCGATGCAAGCACTTAACCCTGGGTGAAGCACAGGACATTTTAGGAACACTTCCCAATGGCTACAAGGCCTCACACACACAGGCTACACCACTGTTACATGTTAAGTCTATTAGTACAGCTATTGACTCAGAGTCTGGCTCTGAAATTCCATGTATCTCTGAATACACAATAAGGTGTGTACCTCAAATGATTCCTTATATTTCACTCTATGTTGGAGTCCTTATAATAGGCCTCATTTTACAGGGTACTCTGAATCACCTGGCTTTGAACAAAGAACTGCTTCAGGAAGATATATTAGCCTGGAGAAGGAGCAGATGACGGACTCAATCAGTGCTGCTAAATGCTTAGACTAGGGGGGGTCTAAAGGAACTAGAGAGGAGTGCCCACTTAGCTCTTATTCCTAAAGGTCTGAGGTCACATTTTTAAGTGAGCAGGACGTGGTCATGGAATGCAGAACCCTCACAGTTTAAAAACAGATGGAGACAGAAGCAGAGTGAGTAGTCACACTGTGGCGACCACAGATGTACTCCCACAGGACAATAAAGGAAGAGCACCTACTGTCACATCCTGGGAATGTCCTCACGGTGGGGACGAAAATGCTCGTTTGCAGCCTCAGACCTGGATTCAACAACGGCTGTGTCTGGAGCAACCCCGACAGCAGCGAAGACGTGGGGCTCTGGAGAGCTGGGCCAGGGGACAGCATGTGGCCGCCACATGCACGTGAGGAGCGGGAGCAAAGTGCGTTACCTCACGTGATCTGCTGTGTGTGCCGCTAAACAGGCAGACCGAACATTCTACCAACACTTTAGACTAGTTTATCTCATTCTTAAAAGGAAGTATTTTCCAGTTAGCCAAGAGAAGTTCTGGGTTCCCTCACTGGGACAATGGGGGATGCCTGAATGTGTGGTCACCTCAAAAGGCTGAACACAGGCCATCACCTCAAAATCACATCACTCAATATATTTCTCAAGGCCTCGCACTGGGTGCTGGGGTCCTGGGCTTGGTCTGGGCCCTTTTTCTTCTGCTTTTGCCCTCTCCCGAGGGAACCCTGGGCCCAGGGCCTTACGCACACGCCTCTGCTCGCGTCCCCACACCGTCCACTCACGGGCCTGCCTGGCACCTCGCATTCCTCACGGCCAAACAGGGCCCCTCCCAGCTGGCCTCTCCAGTTGCAAATGCAGCACCGTCCACAGGCCAACTGTCCGGCCTCACCCTTGAAGCCTCTAGCTGTCACTCACCCAAGTCCAATCTTCCTCTGGGACCTGTAGACGCGACTTCTAAAACACATCAGATGCCCCTGCTCTCAACCCTGCCCCCAGGCCAGTCCCGTTCTGCCCCACAGGGGAGCTCTGGCAGCGTCCGGGGACAGGCAGGGTTCGCACAACGGGGAGGCACGGCCGGCAGGTATGACGACAGGGCTGCTCAACACCCTAACACCGGACAGGATGGCTTCCACCACGAAGGATCATCGGGCCCGAAACGTCAGCGGGGCTGAGGCTGGGAAACCCTGCTCAGTCCAGGCCCACAGTCTGATTACTTCCACGGTCACAGTGCCCGTCACGACAGCAACTACGTGCTTCCCTTGCTTACAGCCCATCTCCTCACACCTCGAATCCCCTGGGGAAGGGACCCTGGCTGTCTTAGTCACCTCCGTATCCTCAGGGCCTGGCACCCACAGGTGCTCTATCGACACGTGAAGATGAGGAGGTGGTAAGCGTGAAAGAGAGAGGTGGTGGCAATTTAGGACGTAAAGAAAGGTAAAATGAAACAGAAAGTTCTAAATCCTTTATGTAGTCAGCAGCCTTATGGCTTCCAGCCCTGTCCTCATAACACCGGTTCCTGTGAGCAAGGCCTGCCCCGCACTGGAAAGCCCCCAACACCCACACCCTGTGCTCATGGGACAGGGGACCGTCTTCCTTGCTCAGCTAAGAAGGAAAACGCTGGGCAGACCCATGTGATAAGATATTATGTGGCCAATTAAAATGACATTTTGGAAAAACTGTTGACCAGGATAAAGTGCTTCTAAAGCGATTAATGGAAACGGTAATTAATGTAAAGGGTACAACTATATATTTCAGTCTAAATACGTACACATGTATAGTTCACTCAGGCACAGGTGGTTATCTTTGGACAATGGGATTAAATACAGTCTAGGTTTTCTTTTTTTCTTCCCTGGTTTTCTACTCAGGAAAAACATTAATGTTTGAAAGCAACTGGCACTCCACAATGAAAGTAAGAGCCAGGCCACAGGAACAAGCTGGCAGCACCAGGGCTGAGGCCAGCGTGAGCCACCTAGCTGAGGAGTGCCAGCCTATAAGGGGAAGAGGTCAAAAATGACCTCCTTCAAAATCTATTCTCTGAGCCAAGGAAGCCAGAAGAAAATCAGCTTTTTCTAAGGAAAGCCATCCCCCAAATGTCGGAGACAGAAGACGCCACCTCAGGCCCCCAAACCTGTGAGTATCTGCAACCGGATCTGGGTCAGCGTCGTCAGCGAGGTCTGGTAGAGGACACAGATGCTGCAGACCTTCTGGACCTCCGCAGAGTCCACCCGCTTACCCCCAACAGGCCTGAGAATATTCCGGACTGATGCGGACTTCTGAAACGCGCGCTTCAGGAGGTCTGGCACGGAGAGGAGAAGGGGTGTGTGAGCAGACGCTCGGCCATCTGCCCAGGTTCACTCTGTAGGAGCCTTTCGATAAAATGCCTCATCTACAGCCAGGGCTGGACAGTAGGGCGGCTGTTCTGGCTCACGGTCTCTCTTTGGGATACATTAGAAAAGCACTAACAACAGGCTTTTAGGTGGGCCCCGAAAACCTCCTCAGAACATCAGAAACTGTTTCAGAACAAGCCAGGCACATCTGTCTCCGTCAGGGGATTCTTTTACTTCGCCTCTGGACTTCAGAACCCACCAGGTAAAAATTCGACTGTATTAGGGGATGATGGGTGAAGGTGGGGGCCCGGTTGATTCTCAGTTCTCTGCTCTCAGAGGGAAGCGGCATCAACCTCAGGTACTGATACCTGGTCTGGGCTGTGCTCACTGTAGTTGTAAACCTTCCCACTTACATCTACATCCTGCTGGAGCAGCACTGGGCCCCTGCAAGATGGGGCTCTGCACCATGCTGGCTGGCAGAAAAGTCACCATGACTCTGGAAATCTGTCACAGGTGGGCAACTCTACTGAATTCTGTGTCACTGGCATTTCCTGAACTTTTCTTAGAGTGGACAACAAAAAACCTTTCCACGGAACCCATGACTGATTCTGCTGTAGGAGCAATGTGGAGGTGGGCAAGCCAGTGCCCCAGTGTCCTCTGCATATGGACTGTCACATGGGAGACTTTCCTTTATCATTAGGAACTCAGAAAGGCTCTACTTCCCTTAAGAAATGAACCTTCCAAGGCACCTGAGTTGCTCGGTCAGTTAAGTGCCTCTTAGTCTGATTTGAGCTCAGGTCATGATCTCACGGTTTGTGAGATGGAGCCCCACACTGGGCTCTGCGCTGACAGCACAGAGCCTTCTTGGGACTCTCTCTCTCAATAAATAAACATAAAAAAAATTGGGGGTACTGGGGTGGCTCAGTTGGATAAGGGTCCCACTCTTGATTTTGACACAGGTCATGATCTAACGGTTTGGGGATCAAGCCCCATGCTGGGCTCTGTGCTGACAGCGCAGACTGCTGGGGACCCTCTTTCTCCCTCTCCCTCCGCCCCTCCCCTGGTCAGGCTTTTTCTTTCTCTTTCTCTCAAAATAAATAAACTTTAAAAAAAATTAAAAATTTAAGAAACGGGCCTTCCTTCTTCCTGCTAGTGAAGAGTAAGAAAAGATCTCCCATCCCCTTTTCATTTTAGCTTCTAGAAATTCAGCACTTGCCAAATGCAAGTTTAGAGACAACGACCAGGCCCTTGTGGACCGTCCATCTGCGGGAGCTCTTCTCTATGTGTGACCTCGGCTTCGTTCACCTATTGGAATTTCCCTGGTCCTTGTTTTCTATTCCCGAGGATTTTCTACTGCAGTTTTGCTAAATGTGAACTTGGCTCAGCGGTTAAGACCTTCGTGGGGGGAGTTTGCGTGTCACAAGACGGAGGGGACAGGGCACTCAGGGACGGCTGGACTGCCCGAGCCAGGCAGAGCACTTACTCTTCACGGGGAGCACGTTCTGGGGGGAGGCTGGCTGTGCATGCACTGGCTCCTGGTTCTCCAGTAGCTTCTTATTCAGGATGTCACTGAAGAAGATCCGGATGAGAGGCACCCCCCAAAGGAACTGCAGCTGTTTGGTGATCAAGGGCATGGACTCATTAAGGCTAGGAGAGAGCAGGACCGGGGGTCAGCTTTGGCTGCTGGATGGCCCAAGGAGAGCCCACTCAGCTCCCCAGCGGGCCTTCCGCTCTGAGGAGGGGCTTCAACCCGCCACTCAAGGCGAGCGCGAGGGTAAGAGAACGGGGGCCTAGACTCCTACGGCACTGGCCTGTCTTCTCTGCCGCCCAAGGGCCGCCAGCCCCGCCCCCCATACTCTGCCTCCCCATCTCTGTTCTGACCCCACCCCACTTACCGCCAGACTACAGAAGCAATCTGCGGTCTGCGGCACCGTCTGCTTCTTCACCTCTAGCCTGCAGGCCTGGCCTGTGAGTCTCCCTGACCCCCAACCTCCTGAAAGTCTCCTCGCTCCACGCAGCAGCACTCACAGAGGACTCACACTCCCAACGGCCGCCTCATCACCTCCCGGCTCAAGATCCTAAGATGGCATCCATGGCTCCCAGCACCACAGTGGAAACACCCGTGAGCACAAGCCAGGCCTAGATGAAGGCCCTTCACATGCCTCATCTCCTTCAACCCTTGGGAACAACACTATCCGAGACTGTGAAGACGACCCCCGTGTTTCAGGCTTGGAGCAGAGCAGGCTGCTCACGGCTGGCCTCCCCGGCCCTCCTGAGGCTCCCCGCACACATGCTCCACTCTCTTCAGGCTGGACTACCACGCTGGGGCCTGTCATCGGCTGGCCATCTGCCTTTCCAACTGGATGGCACTCCGGTACGAGGAAAAGGGAGACTCTCCTGGGGGTTTTCTCCCCCGGCGCTCATTCTTTGTTTCACAGGCATCTGCCAGGGACCCAGGCAGCTACGTGAACAGGAAAAGAGCTGGAAGCCCCAGCCACCTTCACTCCTGAGACCCGCCCCATCTCAGCATGGGGGGTGGGGTGGGGGGTTTGCTTTCAAATTTGTGATGCCATTTACTTAATCTCTCTCTTCTAGCCTAGCATTTTTAATGTTTTTGAGTCCTTTAGTTAAAACACTTTAAAATTTATATTCCACCTCCTGAAAAGGATCTGAGGAGACCTCTACCCACTTTCTGTCATATGTCTTAGTTTAGCATCTCCAAAAGATGGCAGTCTAGGGAGTCAGGAAAAGTAATATTGAAAAAAAACCAGGGTTGACAGATAAGGTTCATAACTGACTAAAGAATGAAATACAAAATAAAACCATCTCAAAAAAAACTATTGAGGGGCACCAGGGTGGCTCAGTCAGTTGAGCGTCTGACTCCTGATCTTGGCTCAGGTCACGATCAATCTGTGGGTTTGAGCCCCAGATTGGGCTCTGCAATGATGGTGTGGAGTCTGCTTGGCATTCTCTCTCTCTCCCTCTCTCTCTGTCTCTACCCCCAAGCATGTGCATGCTCTCTCTCAAAATAAATAAACTTAAAAAAAAAAACCCTATTGATATTTACAGGTAAAAAAAAAAGAAACTAAAGGGACAGTCACACAGTTGTCTCTGGGTGGTAGCATAATGGGATGGCTTTTATTCCCTTTTGGTCTTATCTAGATTTTATCCAGTGAATATATATTACTTTTATAACAAGAAACAAGACAGCAGAAGCTGGAAGGAAGCTGGAAGGAAGAAGGGGAAGGTGGTGAGAGGCAGGCAGGAGACAAGAAAGGCGGTGATTTGCCCCAGGACTTACCCATAGTCCACAGATTGGGAGAACCAGCCGAGGACGGGGTGCCAGTGTGTCAGATTGGATTTCTTCTGGGACACGTACTTCTGACAGTAGCACAGCATCTGGGTCAGCAAACTCACGAACCCATCTGTCTCCTCCTCTAACACTTTGGGGCTGAGGGAGCCCAGCTGCAGAAGGTTGCCTACAAAGAGAGAGGGCCGAGTGCATGGAACCCCGGGTAGACCCACCTCGTCACCTCACAGCCCTGCCTTCTGCTGGGAGCTCTCGTGGTCACGGCCACGTCCATGCGCAGGGAGAAATTCCACGCAAAGAGGCAGCCGGCAGCTGGCAGTGGCCACTCTGTAGTGCACGTGGCTTCTGAGCCCGCCCTGCCGCAGAGGAGCTGTGCGGCCCTCAACCAGCCTCTCGAATCTGCTTCCTCATCTAGAAGACTGGAATAATGATCCCTACCCTTGCTGTCAGGACAACGTGTGGACTCATGTGCAGGCGTGTGTGAGCTTCAGTTAGCATATAACACTTCGGTACGACACAAAGGTCTGAAAATCGAGTCAGTGTAAGAAGTGTCCTTTGGAAGGACATCTGAGAGTGCTGGGAAGTCACTCACCATGAACCCCCTTAAAATTTGGCCCAAGGACCTTTATTTCATATTAAAAAAAACCCCAACTTCTAAGTGGTGAGCATTAAGCTCTATCCATTCTCTTTTGTCCTTTCTTTACTTACAAGGAAAACGTAAAATAGATGATGCAGGCTCTGATCTAAACACCGCCCGGCCATGCCCTCCCTTCTCTCTTGAGATGAGAATCACCCAGGTGACTCCTCCCATTTTCAGTCGTCTCTTGGCTGACAGGAAGCTGAGGGCCGACACCTAACACTGTCACTCAACCAGGTTTTCCAGATGCTATATTTTCCATCAGTTTTCAATTCTACATGTCTATTTTATGTATCTGAGCACATGTCTTTTATTGTTAAGTACTTCTAATCGTTACTAAAAACAGACCACGATCTCCAGAGCAGTGAAAAGCAAGACCGTTCGGGTTTTTCCTGACCAGCCACAGACACTCACCCATCAGACAAAGCGTATGGCATCCTTCTAAGCTTTCACATACTTCACGGCATCGGTCTTCGTTTCTTAAAAATGTGATGAATTTACGAAGCATGTCATGAGATTCTAAAACGGTGAGGCGCTGCAAACAATTGCAGAGTGTTAAGGTAGAAGCCACGGGCAGGATTCCCACTAGAGCATGAACCTGATCGTTTGCACATCAACACTTAGATGCCAAGCATGCTCTCGGTGGTCAGAAGAAAATGAACAAAGATGAGGCCCTGGCTCTCTCGGCTGCTAACACGGGTGCGTCTACAGCAGCTGCTGGTTTAGAACGAGTATCAGTAGAAGAGGTGGCAACGAACAGAGAAAACATTTTACTCTCTAATTTCTATGAAGACGGCAAAAATGGACTGGGGGTGGGGAAGAAGAGAGCCACTTACCTCAGGGGTCACTGTGCTGAGGTGAGTCACGAGAGCAGGCACAGACATGATGTGGACGAGGAAGGGCCGAATCAGACTGTCTGAAAATTGTGCGGCGATCACAGGGCTAGACACAGACAGGTCGCCTTATTCACACAGGTTTGCGTGTGGCTCCGGCACCAAAGAACCGCTCTGCCAACGGCCCCAACTCCCTTGAAATTATGCCTCCCAGGAGTTCTGGGGAAAACTAAAGGCTGAAAATGGGGACATCCACTGGGGGAGGGGTGAGTCAGTGACACTACAGTCAGAGGGCACTGCTATGAGATATCAGTTTTGAAATTTACGGACATGAGAGAGCATTCATGCTGTAATGAACTTTATTTTTTATTAAAAGAAATTTTTATGTCTATTTCTTATTGAGACAGAGAGAGGTCAGAGTGAGAGGGAATCTGAAGCAGGCTCCAGGCTCTGAGCTAGCTGTCAGCACAGAGCCCAACGTGGGGCTTGAACCCACGAACTGTGAGATCATGACCCGAGCTGAAGTCGGACGCTTAACTGACTGAGCCACCCAGGCGCCCCAGTGCTGTAATGAACTTTAAAGAAGGCAGGCGAAAAAACTACGTTCATAGGAGACCAGGGAGGAGGCAGTGACTGGGAGGAAGGAACAGAGCTTCTGGAATGCTGGTTCTGTTCTATTTCTCAATGGGGATGGTGCTTATGCAAGTGTGTTTACTATGTGACAAATCACCAAGAATTCTCACTTCAATGAAGCAATTTGTTTTAAATATATATTATGATAATAATTTGTGTGTGTGTATGTCTATAAACCCATATGTATATGCAAGTAAAAACACAAGGAGACAGATTTAGGAAAATGTTAACAATGTAACTATGGGTTGTAGAATCATGAGAAACATCTTTTCTTCCTTGTATTTTTCTGTTTTATCCAGGCTTTCTACAGTAAGCATGTATAACCTCCAGGATCAGAAAAAAAGATAAACATTATTAAAATAAGATAACGACCCCTACCTCATACACCTCATAATATAGCTCGAGTATATTAAGAATGAACTTGAAATGGATTATATGCCTAAATGCTAGTGTTATAACTAAAACTACAAAAACTCTTACAAGAAAACAGGAATAAACCTTTGTGACTTTGGGTGAGGCAATGATTTCTTAGGACACAAAGATCGTGAATAAAATTTAAAACGTTTGCGCTTCAAGAGACACCATCAAGGAAGTGAAAAGACAACACGGAGAAAGGAAGGAAATATTTGCAAGTGATCACCTGATAAGGAACTTTTATTCGGGACATATAAAGAACTCAGAGGTCAACAACAAAAGATGAATAATCCAATTAAACAATGGGCAGAGTATCTACACAGACATTTCTCCAGAGAGAGAGAGATACAAATGGCTAGAGAGCACATGATGAGACGGTTGACATCACTGGCTATCAGGGAACTGCAGATCCAAACAGCAGTGAGGGAGCACCTCGCACCCACACGTGGCCATGATAGAAAAAGACAAGTGCTGGTGGGAATATGCAGAAACCGTAACGCTCATTCACTGCTAGTCGGAACGTCAGACAGGGCAACGACTTTGGAAAAGTCTGGCAGTGCCTCAAAGAGTTAAGCACACTGTGGCCCCATGAGCCAGCAATTCCACTCCTAGGAATATATGGGAGAGAATGAAAACTATGTCCGCACAAAAAAACTTCACGCAGAAATGTTCACAGCGGCACCATTCAGGATAGGCAAAAACCAGACACAACCCAAAGGTGGCACAGCCATACCACAGAGTATTACTCAACCGTAAACAAGAACAAAGAACTGGTACATTCTACAAGGCAGATACACACGTGTACAAAGGGGAAGAAGCCAGGCACGGATGACCACACAGTGCAGGGTTCCATTTATGTGGAACGTCCAGAACAGGCAAATCCCGAGGGAGGGAAAGAGGAGTGGTTGCTGGGGACTCTGGGGGGCGGTGGGAGTGGGGGAAGGAGTGTGACTCTAATGGGCACGGGATTTCTTTCTGGGTAATTAACATGTTCTGGAATGTTCTGGTGATGGTCGCACAATTCTGCAAATGTACTAAAAACCAGTGAATTGTGTACCTCAAATGAGTGAACGGTAGGACATGTGAATTACAATTCAAAAGAAATTGTTATTTACGAAAACACCAGAAGCTGTGCAGGAAAAAAAGAGGTCATAAGGACTTATGGGGGGGCTCCTGTGTGGCTCAGTCAGTTAAGTGTCTGACTCATGATTTCAGCTCAGTTCATGATCTCACAGTGATGAGATCAAGTCCCTTGTCAGGATCTGCGCTGGGTGAGGAACCTGCTTGAGCCTCTCTCCCTCCTTCTCCCTCTGTCCCTTCCTAGCTTGTACATGGGCGCGTGCGCTCTCTCTCTCTCTCTTTCAATAAATTAAAAAAAAACAAATGTACAGGAGGAAACTGATCTCTTCTAGCTAATGTGCTCCAATGGCAATGATAAGTATGTTAGCAGTATTTAGACAATCAGAATTTGTGTTATAAACTTTCACTTTCAGGAGTACATTTGTGGACAAGAAAACTGCATGAGGCTGAAATGCTCAACGTATCAGTGTCTGTGTCAACCACCTGTCTGTAGGAGGCTGTCCAACCAAGCTAAGTTCACTGAGCTGAGTTGGACAAAAGATAATTCTCTAAAAAGGGGATCGAGTTTTTTTCTGTGTGTTAGAAACAGGTGTAGATCAGGACCAAGCAATCACCTAGACAGAGGAAAAAGCACACCTCAAGAGAATGCCACCAAAGCTGTGACTTATCACTTCCCACTTCCAAGAGGACGGCTGCGTCACCAAGGGGGCACCAAGGGCAGGACCCCACCCTGAGCCATAACCCGGAGTGACTCAGTCTGACCGACCAGGAAGGAGGCAGGGCTGCCTCGAGGGAGGCCAGTCTCAAAAGGTCACACACACAGGCCAGGCACTCGCTTTCCCTCAATGCCTTGTTCTGTGCATCCCCGCATGAAGCCGTCAGACACCTCCTCTGGGGGGCCTGGGGGCTCAGCCGCCTAAGCATCTGACTCTTGGTTTCAGCTCAGGTCATGATCTCATGCTGTGTGAATTCAAGCCCCATGTCTGGCTCCATGCTGACAGCAGGGAGCCTGCTTGGGATTCTCTCTCCCTGCTCATTCTGTCCCTCCCCCACTCTTTCTCTTTCAAAATAAGTAAACTTTAAATTTTTTTAAATGTTTTATTTATTTCTGAGAGAGAGATAGCGTGAGCAGGGGAGGGGCAGAGAGAGAGAGGGATACAGAATCTGAAGCAGGCTCCAGGCTCTGAGCTGTCAGCACAGGGCTTGACACGGGGCTCGAATGCACGAACCGTGAGATCATGACCTGAGCCGAAGTGGGACGCTTAGCCGACTGAGCCACCCAGGCGCCCCGAAAAATAAGCAAACTTAAAAAAAAAAACAAAAAAAACGCTTCCTTTAAGCTTTGCAATTGTTGCACTTGAGCCCCCTTCTATAGACGTCCTGCTAGGATGCTGCGTGACCAGGGGCACGTGCCTTAACCTCTCTGGGCCTGAGCTTCCTCATCTATAAAACCAAGATTAGAGAATGTGGTGAGGAGTCGGTTAATGAGGGTAAAAATCTTAAAACAATCGTGTGGCCCACAAATGTTGGCTATTTGCATCATAGGATTTAGCAATTGCATCCAAACGCATCGCTTACGATTGCACAGACTTTCAGTAGTACATCCCAGTATGACAAAGCCACCAGCTGTTTTGTTTTAAAAGGTCCTGGCCATGTTCGATTACATACAAGTACTCAGAGGGGAAAAAGGACATTATTTAAGGAGAAGGCTGGAGAGCTGCCCAGGCAGAGTGAGTCAACAGGCTCTAACGTACAGAATGAAAAAGTCTAAGGTGATGGAGGCAACCATATTCTTAAAGGAGAAGGAACATGCCGGATTGGCTGGATGTGACCTTCTCGGTGACTCACTCTGAATTACAACACGCTGGGACGGGCGAGGGACGCTGGAACAGAAAGAAGGACTTCTGTCCTCAGGAGACAGAGGAGGTGGCAGTGCAGCTGCCCCGCCCTGGAGCTCAGGCACCTGTGTGTCAACCCTTCCCTGCCCCCGACACGCGGGGAGAGTGGGCGATGCTGCAATGGGCTGCTCCAGAAGGTGACTCAGAGAGAGACGCTGCTGGAAAACCTGTCTGCACCTACGTCTCATGACTCATTAAATACGACTCCTCTCAGTGTCGGAAAGGAAGGTGTAACCGTTTCTGAAGCAGTCTGGTCTACTGCTGTAACTACAGCACTGCTGGCGGACCCGTTCCTTCTCGGAAGGATCTCGCCTCTAGGAATGGGCTGTCCGACGCAGTAGCTATGTGTGGCTCCTAGCCGCTTAAAATGTGGTTAGTTCAGATGCAGATAGGCTTTAAGGGTAAAATACACACCAGGTTTTGAAGACTCAGTATGAAAAGAAATAAATGATTAAGTTAATTTGTTTTAAGGTTTATTATTTATTTTTGAGAGACCGAGTGTGAGGAGGGGAAAGGCAGAGAGAGAGAGGGAGACAGAGAATCTGAAGCAGGCTCCAGGCTCTGAGCTGTCGGCACAGAGCCCAACGCGGGGCTCAAACCCACAAACAGTGAGATCATGACCTGAGCTGAAGTCAGATGCTTAACTGCCTGAGCCAAGTAGGTGCTCAAGTTAATTTTAACTAAATTAAGAATTTAAAAGACTGACTACGTGTGGAAATGGTTTTATTTTGGATATACAGTTTTTAAACAATTTCCCCCTTTTTTTGGACTTTGAAAATGTGGTTCTCATTGCAGAGAAGGCTGCTCTAAACCAGCCTTGTCCAACAGAACTTTCCGTGATAGTGGAGATGCTTCCTCTTTGTGTGGTCCAATAAGGCTGTCACTGCTCAGGCTCATGTGGTCCCAAAGCACTTGAAATGTGGCTAATGGAACTGAGGAACTGAATTCTTCTTTGTTTTTAATTTTATTTTTACTTTTAAAGAGGGGGGTAGAGAGAGAATGTGAGCAGGGGGCAGAAGCAGAGGGGGAGAGAAAACCTTAAGCAGTCTCCATACTTAGCATGGAGCCCAACATGGAGCTCGAT